AGTTTCGGTGGAAGTGCGCGAGTTCGATTGGGATTCAAGTAGGAAGGGAGCGTCGCAGCTTCCTCGGACCAAGACCATTCGACTCAGCACCCAGAAGACTACAACTGGTGAAAATTTGATTGCACTGCAGAGGCTCCGCTTCATGTAACACTGTAGTGGCCCCTTCGTTTTCTCTGCAAACCCGCTAGAAATACCAGAATTTTTTAACGCCAAACACCATAGCAACCACTGCCCTGGATAACCCCTGTGCCACTGCCTGCCTGGCCTTGTTTTCTCTGCAAGTAAAGAGTGGTTTGCAAGTTTTTTCTCTCTCTTCGTAGGTGACTTTGACGTGTCTTTTTCCTTTTGTGATTCAGTTTCCCTTAGCGTAGCTTTCACGACGATGGACCCTTCGGATTTTATTTCGTTGTTGGCTCACCCTGAGGTGCGTTTGGCTTTACAAGCTGCATCCGCCCCCACCGGCGGGATACAAAATGGTCCCTCCGCCCCCAACCAGCGGAATACAAGTCGGTCCCTCCGCCCCTACCAGCGGAATACAAAATGGTCCATCCGCCTCTGCCAGCGGCATACAAAATGGTCCACCCGCTCACTCCGGCGGTATACAAACAGGTCCTTCCGCCACTGCCGGCGGCTCACAAATTGGCACACAGCAGACACCACCTCCGAGACCCTCAGGGCTTGAGTCACACAGGGTTGCCACTGAGAGCCCCCGGGCCTCAGATGACGAATCTGTAGGTTACAGTGGCCATGCACGTTTTGCTAGGGACAAATCCCCAGGTTTGAACGTCCTTGCAGGGCCTGCTCTAGACATTCAACACAGCCCGGTCAGAGTGTACCTGGCGCATGCAGGCCAGCCGGGTCAGATTATCCAGCAGAAAAACAACCAAAAAGCCTGCTCAAAACGCAGGAAAACAGAAAGGCGAATTTAGTGCCGGAAATCGGACATTTTAGAGAACAAGGCGAACGATCAAAGTCCGCAAACGTAGAAGGTAAACGACATTACGTGAAGAATGCAAAGCAGTTCCATTGGATTCTGATTTAACAATTTGAAAAAAAGGAATTCTGTTTTCTAATTAGTGCTAGTACTAAGTAGTAGCAGCCTAGCAGGACCAACATGTTCACATATTAGAGCACTGGGGTGTGCCTGCAGCACCTTGTGGAGTGGCTGCTTCCTCGCGACCAAATCCACCGCCGCTCGTCTTCCTTTGGAAATGCGTCTTGCACAAAGCGCATGACATGGATACTAGTAGACTGGCATGGTCGTAGTCCAGCCAGGGTCGACCTTTTTTCCAAGAGTCTTGGAAAGCGTGAGTTCTTTTTCTCTTCGCTGCGGGCTCCATCGTCCAAATCACCAATCGGCTGAACACTTAACTTGCCACTGTGTCAAAAGCTATAGCCAAAGTTACCATGGTTACGCTTTTGACTGCCTGCCTCATCAACTTTGAATGTCCTGACTTCCTGCTCGCCGCTGGCCAGATCGCGCTCGAACCAGTTGACCCTAGCCGAGTTTCTGTCGCTTGTAGACTGTAGACTGTAGTGTGTAGATCTACCATGGTGTACGGTTGCGCTAGATTTGCAACAGATGGGGTCCGCGAGTCGTAAAACACCCGTATTTTAGGAATCCATTGTCAGTTTGAGACATTTTTCAGGAGGGTCAGACTGGACCCGGTGTTATCTGTTCAGCCAGGTCGTGCAGTTCCCCAGCCGGGCGCGTGACCCGGCTGACCCGGCTCTCCAGCAGGCCCTGGCTTGTTTCCGACAATGAGTTCGGCCACGGTCCGACGGTTCCCGTTCTCGATCGCCTTTTCCCATCAAAAACACCGTCGGGGACTGGAAAAGGCCAGGCCGCGAGCAGGCAGTCCGCGCATGCGCCCTCAACGGGATTTCCGCATAAGGCCCCGCTCGCAGAGCTTGGGGTATCGTGACCGATCCCCCACGGCTTCACCGGAACCCCATAGGCGATTCACACGACAGGCAAATCCACGTTTACAGGAAAGTCACCATGGAGATATTCCTGCGGGTGACCAAAATTTGCCCGCGGGAATCAAAAGTGTCCATGGCCTTTTTGCCCGCGGATGCACTCATCTGCGGGCACTTTTACAGTTATGAGGCTGTGAGGTCGTACTATGGTACGGTAGTCTTGAACCCTGGTTGTTTGGCCTTTGTTTTTGGGTACTCATTCCAAATCACCACAGTAACGCCGTATACTCACCGGATACTCGCGGGAGCTCTGGCCGCCACCCGCGGCCGTGTGAACTGCGGCCTCACATTTCACTTCCTGCGGGCACTTGACAAACGTGGATTTGCCTGTCGTGTGAATCGCCTATAATAGGGCTCCCTCTGTACGAGGGCATGGAACCGGGACTGTGGATCGATCTCAACGACGACGTCGTCGTTCGTCGAGTGAGTCCGGGTCGGGACCCGGCGATGTCGTCCACTCCCGGGCCTTGGCCGGGGGAGCTAGGCGGAGAGTTTCCATCTCTCCTCGTCGTCGACGCTCGCGGGGCAGAGGCTCCCGGTCCTCATCCACGGACTCCGGATCTAGTAGTCGGTCATGCTCCTCGTGCGAGGATTTCTCCTCTAGTGGGACGGACTCCTCACCTGACCGTGACCATGGAGACGAGGTATTTGACCCGTCGCGCTTAGGGGCAAAGGACTCTTGGCACCCACCAGCGCATATTGCGGCATTCCTCCGGGCTAATGCCCGGCGGTCTCTCACCTCCAAGCAGAAGGCAGAATTGAAAAAACTCTGCCCATTTCCGGAGGTGGAGGAGGCCCAGTGTCCTCGCCTGGATAATTTTGTCCGCGACCTCCCGTCGCTGGGCTTTGGCCGGAAGACCGATAAAGCCATGGCGGCAGTGCAAACTAGGGTATGTGCCGCGTTTGCGCCCGTTTCGGCGGCTTGGGCCGCAGTGGATGCTGGGCGACCAGCCAAGGAGATCACGCAGCTCCTGCAGGTCGCAGTGTCTTTGGTGGGTGATGCCGCTAATAGCATCTCGGTCATGCGGCGGCAAAGACTGACGGGGCAGCTCCCCAACAAGTGCCCGTCCAGCCTCCTCCGGGAAATGGCCCCGTCTGGGAACTTGTTGTTCGGCGAGGACTTTACCAGACAATACAAGAAGCGGACTCAAGAAATTGACGCTTTTCGCCGCTCGTCTGGCTCGTCCAAGCCGAAGCCGGCATACAAGGATAGTCGGCCTTCCAACTTCAGGGGCCATAATTATTACCCAGCAAGTGCTGGTGGGCGTCGTGGGGGCCACCGCTCATTTCCCCGCCATGACAACCATAGGCGAGAGGGTCATTTTTCCGCCACTGCCAGTTCAAAAAACGGGCGTGGCGGCAATCGGCCCTTTCGGGGGCGCGGTCAGGGTCATTGATGACCCTGCCGGTGGATGGTTCGCGTTCCCAGCTCAACGTACATCTTCGCGGCCATCCAAGTCCACCCCACAACGAGCTGGCGCGCGCTCCGCTCGTGCCCCCGCTCCCCCAAATTCCGGTCGCTGGGCGTTTGAGGCATTTTGTGCAAGCCTGGTCGGCAATCACGTCAGACCCGTGGGTCTTGGATGCGGTGCGGGGCCTGAAGCTGGATCTCGTGGCCGATCCCGCACAAAGCACGGAGCCCAGGGAATTATCTCTGGAGGAGGACAGAGCGCTCGCTGTGCGGCTCGAAGTGGACGAATTGAGGCTGAAAGGGGCCGTCACTCGAGTGCAGGAGTGTCCTCATCAATTCGTCAGCCAGATTTTCACCATTCCAAAGAAGGATTCCGGCAAGGAACGTCCCGTGGTGAATTTGAAAGCGCTGAACGGGTTCGTGCGCTACGAGCACTTCAAGATGGAAGCAGTGGCGGATCCAGGGGGGGGCCCAGGGGGCCTGGGCCCCCCCTTTGAAAATTTCGACCTTGGTCTAGGATTACAGTAGACTGTAGAATGAGCGCTCGAAATTACTTGGCGTGTCAAGTGGGTCACGCGTGCTGGGTACTTTTATACGTGTCCGATCACTCCGGTACATGGTGTCACGCACCGAGCATGAGTCTGTACTAGTCAGCGCGCTGTGTACCGGTGTACAACTACTGTACGCACTGCGACCTGAGGACACGGCCGCACTTCAAACATGTGAAAAACGTGCCAAAAATGCAGGGCCTGGTACATAGTGCAGCGATCGCGTTGGGCTGAAGTCCTGTTTGGTGCACGGTGCTGTCGACTTCGTCCTTCCTTTTTTCTTTTTCAATTGTCAGAAACTACAAGTATACGCTCTCTAGCTCTCTACTTCGCTTGTAGCCAACGGGTTACCTTCAGATATGAGATGAAGAGGAAAGGGTCTGACATCAGGTCGTTCTTCAGTGGACCGGTAGATAAGAGAGCTCGCGTTGGAGAGCCGTCCAAAGGTCCGTCGCGGCCGCTGTCGAGTGGAAATGTTCCAGTGCAGTTTGAAAATGTCGTGAGAATGGAATAAAACTAGAAACCGGCGGATTCTGCTCGAAAAGGTGGCATATTCTGCTCGAAAAGCAGTGAAATTGGCAGAATCATACAAACCTTATGGCGGGCAATTCCTCGAATTCTGCTCCATACTATAGTATTTTTATCCACATACCAAACATCCATAAAACTTACCAGAAAAAGTACCGAATTCTGTCAATTTTTCTGCCGGCAGAATCCGCCGGACCCTAAAAACAACTGCTCTTCACAGCTTCAGGACTTTGTTGTTGTTGTATTTGTTGTTTTGTTTTGGGGGGGGGGGGGGGCGGATACCTTGGGCCCCCTCTTCGGCCAAGTCCTGGATCCGCCACTGGGAAGGATTGAAGCTGCTGCCCGATCTCCTTCAGCCCGACGACTGGCTGGTGAAATTGGACCTGAAGGATGCTTATTTCGTGGTGCCAATCCACCACGATTTCAGGAGACTGCTCCGATTTCGGTGGTCAGGTCAGCTGTTCCAATTTCAGTGCTTGCCTTTCGGCCTGAGCAGCGCGCCAAGGGTGTTCACCAAGCTCATGAAGGTTCCGATGGCGATTCTGCGCAGCCAAGGTGTGCGCCTGATTATCTATCTGGACGACCTGCTGATTATGGCATCGTCGGCGGCGGAAGCACTGGAGCACTTGCGCCGGGCAATTCAGTTGTTACATCAACTGGGATTTCTCATCAACTTCAAGAAGTCGGTGTTGACTCCTGCCCAGAACATCTCATTCTTGGGCTTCGAAGTGGACTCTCGTGCCATGGAGATGCGGGTGCCTCCGGAGAAGATCCGGAAGCTTCGCCAGGAGTGCACCAAGCTTCTGCTGCAGCCACGGGTGACTGTTCGCACGTTAGCCTGTCTGTTGGGGCGCTTGACATCCCTTTCTCCGGGTCTGCTAACAGCGCCGCTCCGTTACCGACGTCTGCAGGAGCTCAAGATCCTAGCTCTTCGCGAGTCCCAGTCTTACGAGGCGACCGTCCAGTGGACACCCGATGCCAGGCTGGATTTACAGTGGTGGAAAGAGCGACTGTCCGACTGGAACGGAAGTCATTGGTTCGCCCACCCTGCAATCTGGTGGTGTTCTCGGATGCCTCCCTCGATGGCTGGGGAGCAGTGTGCAGGGATCAACAGGTGGGCGGCCGGTGGACTCGGGCAGAGCGTTCCATGCACATCAATGCCCTCGAGTTGACAGCGGCGTTTCTGGCACTTCAGGCCTTCCACCGGGTGGCGTTGGACCGTCCGCTTCATGTTCGCCTGTTTGTGGACAATACCACTTGCCAGGCTTACCTCAACAAGATGGGCGGCACACATGCCCCGCACTTGTCCCAGCTGGCCTGCCAGGTGTGGGAGTGGTGTCTGGAACGTGGCATCACAGTTGAAGCCGAGTACATACCGTCGGCGGAGAATCCGGCCGATGCCCCGTCCCGTCAGGGGGTCGATTCGAGCGACTGGATGCTCGATCCAGTAGTGTTCCGGGGCCTTTGCCAACACTTCCAGGTGCAGCCGGCGATCGACCTGTTTGCGTCACGGACCAATGCCCAGTTGGACAGCTTTGTGTCCTGGGGGCCTCAACCCGGAGCACTGGATGTGGATGCTCTTGCCATACCATGGGGCGATCAATGCCTGTATGCGTTTCCACCCTTTGCTCTCTTGCCGAGGGTTCTGCACAAAGTGCGCCAGTCCCCGGGGTGCAGAGTGTTGCTGGTGGCACCAGTGTGGGATGCGCAGCCATGGTATCCGCTCCTGCTCCATCTTCTGGTAGCATGTCCAGTTCTATTACCGGGCCATCCAGCGCTCCTCGCCTCACCGCTGGATCAACCTCATCCCATGGTGCTGGGCGGTCATCTCCAACTAGCCGGCTGGCTCATCTCTCCCGATCCTATGCGGCGGCAGGCCTTTCATCAGGCACTATTGCCCTCATCCTGGGATCATGGCGGGACTCCACCAACTCGGCCTATTCGTCAGCATGGACAGCTTGGCACAGTTGGTGTTCTGAACGGCGGATTGATTCCTTTCAGCCGCCTGTGTCACAAGTATTGCAGTTTCTAACTGACATGTTTGCCGTGGGCCGAAGTTACCGCACGTTGAATGTGTATCGCTCTGCCCTGTCCTCCACTTTGCCAGGCTTAGATGGTGCGCCAGTTGGCCAACATCCCCTGGTGGTTCGGCTTATCGCGGCGTGGCGTCTTCCAACAGCGTCCTCCACAACCCCGGTACTCCCATACTTGGAAAGTTTCCGATGTCTTGGGTTGGATGGGTGGTCTGGGTGACAATTCTACCCTCTCTCTGCGCCTGCTTTCAATAAAGCTGGCTCTGCTCATGGCGCTGACTGGCGCCAAGCGCTCTTCTGATTTGCATCGTTTGGATTTCCATTCCCATGTTATTGAGGGTGATGGGTCTCTCCGTGTGACGTATGCCTCCATGCCTAAGCAGCGTCGGCCTGGTTGCCGAGGGGATGCATCCCTTCCCACCGTGGTGTGGCCTGTCTTCGACAGCACGCCACACTTGTGCGTATCAAGCTGCTTCCAGGAGTATGTCAGGCGCACAGCTCCTCACCGTCAGACTGCTCATCCGCAGATTTTCCTCAGCCTGCGGCAGCCTTTCAAGCCGGTGACCTCGTCCTCTATAGCCAGGTGGATAAAGGATGGTATGACTGCGGCCGGAGTGGACACAGCGATATTCTCAGCCCATTCGTTGCGTGGGGCTGCTAAATCGGCCGCGCATGCCGGTGGGGTATCCTTAGCGGATATCTTGCACCAAGCCGATTGGTCATCAGCATCTACCTTTCGGCGTTTCTATCTGTTGCCAGTGGACGCGAGCCCTGCACGGACAGCGGCAGATCAGTTCACGGCCACGGTTCTTCGACGGACTTAGCTATGTCCGGTTCCTGGACTATGAGTTGGATTTTGCAAATGCTAACTCGCAAGTACTCACGTTGTACATGTAATTCTGGACTCTTATCTAGTCTTGTTCTAGTGCATGACGACATGATGGGTTGTCAACCCATTTTTCCTCTCTTTTGGCTTCTCTTGCCTCAGTGTACTCCCATTCGGTCTATTTCGGATGGTATTCTGACCTTGGACACTACATGTATAGTGGTTTTTCTAGCCAGGTACTTATTACTGTTTTCCACTGGTCTTGGCCTGCGGTGATATATTGTTCGTCACCATTTCGCTTCACGTTGCTTGTGGGCGGTTTGTTACTGCGACAAATAGCTACAGTGTTACATGAAGCGGAGCCTCTGCAGTGCAATTGTGGATTATACAAGAAACCATAGGTTTTGATGTATAATCCTAATTGCATAAGGAGGTGAAGCGAAATGTAACACTGTAGTCCCTCCCGGCCCATCCCCACTGGGGCGTGCTCAGGATTTACAGAGCAGTTCAAACAAGGCCAATGGAGGCAGGCAGTGGCACAGGGGTTATCCAGGGCAGTGGTTGCTATGGTGTTTGGCGTTAAAAAATTCTGGTATTTCTAGCGGGTTTGCAGAGAAAACGAAGGGGCCACTACAGTGTTACATTTCGCTTCACCTCCTTATGCAATTAGGATTATACATCAAAACCTATGGTTTCTTGTATAATCCACAATTTTAGGGTATACTTCCCCTTTAAAAGAGATTAGTTGAAGTGTCCCATTTTCGGAACGGTTTCTATCATTTTCACGCGTTTTAGAGTTTCAAGTTCAGTGGAATTGTCATGGCGATGATGACGTCCGATCAGATCGACCATCTAGCATCTACAACCAGGGAGTAGTACAATACCGGTATTGTACTACTCCCTGTCTACAACAACTGTAGCTATCTCCACGTAATGCATGACGTAGCTATTCCAAACTCTTCGAAACTAATCCACCTCTCCCATCGGATGAGGTTGCGGAGTTTCGTTTTTCTGAAGAGGCCAATAAGGCCACCTCTTCAGAAAAACGAAACTCCTCGAAAAGTCAAAGAGTGACAATTCGAAAGCGCCCTGATAACAGTTATGAATTCGAACGCGCCCTGATAACAGTTATGAGTCTAGAATCTACGAGGAGAGCACTTCCGCATAATTTTAAAATTGCACACTGGACAGTCCATGAAACCTTTTGCGACACACATGCATACCGGTACCCATGCAGTCTGAGTACCTTGTCCCAGGTCAGAACTACGGACACAATACGCATGCCACTAACTACCCATGCCTAGCGCCTGTGAACAAAACAACAGTAGATCTGCTTCACCCGGCAATGCATGAGCGCATTCTTCTGCTGTACACCATTCAGCATGACCATTGTCCATCCAGATGCAAATACAGTACAAATATTCGAATACATGGCACAATGTTACGTTGTAGTCTAGTAGACCTGGTGATTGAAAGTCCAGGACCTGTGCACAATAACGACAACGTAGTTGAAGCTGCATTCGTTGCACTGCTACACATGGACAAAGATACGCTTGATTCTACCACTAAAAAGAATAGAAGAAAAAGTAAAACAGTGTTTACTAGAGTTGCTACAGCTGGTACACCGATGTGTGGCAGAGCAACTTCACCACTTGACTGGATCTTGTCTGTTGTTGTATGATCAGTTCTACTCCGCAAACTCAAATCGCAAAGAGCCACAATGCAAGGGACAGATTTCATGCAGGCATGTGCTTCATCGAGAGGCTCGAGCTAGAACCGTGGGACGAGATGTTAAAAAATGAGCAGTCTGGAAACACTTGAAAAATGTTCCGATCTCTACTCCCGGTCAGAACCTGAGCGACTGGGCGACCTGGAGCGGCTGTAGCGCGGCGAACGAGAGCTGTGGAGGACAGAACAAATACAGGGAGGAGGAAAAAAAGATATACTCAAAATGAACAGGCCAAGCCAACAGAAGAAGCAGAAGAGCGTAGCTTGTTGCAGCTTTGCTACCCAAAGGAACGCCTAAAAGAAGCTGTTATCACACGAAGACGATGCGAGCAAACAACATACCGCTGCCACTGTGTGTGAAAGGCAAAGTAGTGCTCGGTTGTAGATTTCCCCTTACGATAGCCTCTCCTGACAGCCAATGGCATTGGGCTTAGGATGACAGGCATTCACCCTGTGTTGGGAAAATGGTTGCGGGGTTTAAAGATTTAAAAGCTGTAATTCGTGCCACGAGGCGTTGATTTCCCACCACTACAGAATGCTCAAGTTAGACTATGCCCAGAGTAGCATACAATCAGCCGGATACACCCCCCCCCCCACACACACACTAACGCACACATTCCCACACATAGATGACACAAGAGAGGTTCTGCAAAACGAAAATGTGTACGAATTTTCGCTCTACGGCACAAAGTGAGAAACTTCGCACGAACTTTCGCAACTTTGGACGCGAAACTTGCAGGGAACGCGAAATGAACTTTCGTAGGAAGTTTCGTGAGATTGGGTCATGTCGTACGTGCACTTGGCGCGTGCAAACTACGAAAATGTGCAGAACACAAAGTTCGTGCGAAAATTCGTACACATTTTCGCAAGGCCTGTCGCGAAACTTCGTTCGAAATTTCGTTGTGCAGAACCTCTCTACTGTTTGCGTATAATTGCACATACCGACTGCGGCGGGTTGGGCGACGAGGAGACCTCGACCTTGACCTTGACCTTGACCGACTAGGAGAGTGAGAAGGTCGGTCCTGTACATGGAAAGAATAACACAAAGATCACTACTACTTCAAAGTACATCTAGTCTACCAGCTACTCAATGCTCCAGCGTGAAGTAGGTGTCAGTGCACGAGCGAATGACAACAACACTAACAACAAAATAGCAAAAAAGAGTGCCACTGCTATGAAAGATTTCTGGGAGAAATTCAGAGAAACTCAAGCCATCATATAAAGTCAAGATGGTGAGCCAAAGAAAATATTAAATGGAGGCAAGGAAAACGGTGGTGGACTCTAACGCATAACTTGTGCCCCACCGTTTCCCTTGCTTCCATCACATAAAGTGCTGTATTTTCCGAGGTATTACGCCCATCCCTGTGGGTGGTGGAGTTCCTACGGATGCGGAAAAGTCAGTCTAACTGGGTCACACGTGAACCGTGAAATATAGGCCCATCCGGTATAAAGCTGCATCTCCTACTGGAGGCAAACAAGTCTCATTCTGGTTTGTATGTTTCAATGAAAAGCATAGTCTCTTAGAACGTTAGCACTGGAATTCCATGTTTGAAGAAATGTTCTGGGACACATCTTAAGGTGAATGCAGATATTTGCCAGACCAACCACAAAGTATAACATACATGTATAGAGCAAAGTGATTGTTCGGATGATAGGCACAAATCCAAGCTCTACACAAGCAAGGAGAGCAAACTGGAGACTGGAAAGACATTTCTTACATGTGTAGGGTCGTCACTACATTTCGGGCTGAGTCAAATTTCAGCTCGACTATCAAAGCAGTCTGTTCCATAGCTCAAGGCTTTGTCACGAAGTACTAACTATGATCATGGATAGATACTACTTTCAACTATGGAAGGAGATTAACCAGTCATTGAATCATGTCTAGCACTTTAACAATGAGCTACATGCATATCAATAGCTCACTTCAAAGACACGGATCTTCCTGCCGCTAAGCTCGGTCTTGTCAAGCTTTCTGATTGCTGACTTCATATCGGAACGGGATGCAAACTCCACGATTCTGAAAAATAACAGAGACAGCAAACGCATTCACTTTAGCTTTAGGAAAGCCTCGGACGACGAAGCAGAGCATACAACCAAATACAACCAAGAGTACATAGAACCCCCCAGAGCAAGGGGCATAAGGTTTGCCTCACAGCAAAATGAAACCAGTGCACTATGCAAGAATGATCAGGACTAAACACTTGTGTAAACGCCTTTGTAAGCGTGGCAGTTATGCTGCGTCCACATGCACCGATTAGGCCCGGCAGAAATTGGCTGCCGGGCCTATTGGCTATTGGCACTCACCCCTCGCTGTCACCTCTGTTGTGAGCCTCAGCATAGGTCACTTCACCGGCTGACCGCATGTAATCTTTCAAGTCCTGACAGACACAAAGCAACAGGGATGCAAGAAAAAGAGACAAGCAATTGTCAGAGACACAGCCATATAAGACATACATCACTGCAACACAATCAAAGTAGCAGATAGCAGTACAATGCAGTAAGTCAGCAAGAGAGTAGCATCGGAGGAAAACATGAGGTGCTACATGTGGCCGGGATACCGATATAATCACGCAGAAACAGAACATACCTATGTCAGGCACACAAGAGCTAAGCCCATTGACAGGGAGAAGTGCCCCTTGGCAGTAGTTAGGAAGAGATTAGTTTTGATGGCCAACCGCTGTCCTCCTCGGAACCCACAGTGCCAAGAAGAGTGAGAGAGTGAGGAGACCCATCATGATGGTTGACCCTTTTCCTTTGCCAGGCTTCTTCGCACAGGGAGAGATTTTGTCCACATCCTGACACTGATAACTTCTTCCCCCAAAGAAGATTGACCAAAGAGCCAGTAGCCACAGCCATGACCGCCATCATCATCATCCTGAGCAAACCAGGAGGCTGGGTGAATAGCCAGGATGCAACTGCAAAGGCACCTCTTCAAAACCGTCGGGTTGTGAGCATCACGTCCGACATAACTCAGCAGCAGCAGCCATAGCCACAGCCCCTCGACCAGACACACTGTGTGATAGCAAAACATCAGTGGCAAAGCTCATAGTAAATAACACACACACACACACGTTTGGGCACACGGCGCAGTGGGGGCACACCTAATCTATAAACACAACACATGCATAATGCTGCAACATCCAACCTGCATACGGTGGATAGCCACGTGGGCATAGAGGCTGAACATACGGATACTGGCATAGTGCAAGCAGCTCTATTCAGCACGTGCACCTGCAAGTTGCCAATTCTTCCAATTTTCAACTCCACAGTGTGCATGTAAGTCCTCTTGACATAGTCATTCCTTATCGTATCAACCCCAAACTGACACAATTGCCTTCAAACAACCAACCAGGATGAGGCTACCAAGGAATTTGAATTCAAATCCGCACATACATGTATGCACATTGTAACTACGCTCAAGTCATCTTAGCAGAGGCTTCTCCGAACCAATTGCCGTACAGAGCGCACACAACTTGAAGACAACAAGAGACAGGCGCATATAATTATCAGCCCAGGATCAAACGGTCCACATTCACCCATTCAGTCATTAACACCCTCCCACACACACACACTACTGCTACTGCTACGACTAGCAGCATGACTGCCCAGATGGGCAAGTGTCACCACTATGAAAAGTGGACCAGAAAAACGAGAGTCGGATCACAAGCAGGACCGCGAATGTACACACACACACACGCACACGCACACACACACACGCACACACACACACACGCAGTTAGCCAGTCTTACCTGCCAGCTGACACGAGATGAGAGATTCTCCACAATAACTCTGTATGGAGTGCGAGTGGGGGGACCAAAGCGGGAGCGACCACTGGAAAGCAGACGTACAAAGAGATCGGGAGAAGTACATGGAATGAGAATAAAAATGAGTACAGTCAACTTTGTGAGTAACAACAACTCCCGAATACCGACACTTCTGACCTGTGACCAATTGACTGCATACTTTCAACCTCAAGAATAACTCCAACTTGGCGAATAACGACACTTTTCTCATGCACGATCAAGGGTTGTTATTCGCAAGATTGACTGTACTTGGAAGGAATCTTGAACAATACATAAACGTTCTACATTTATGTTGAAATGGTTACTAGTAACCTCTAGGTTCGTACATAATAACACATTAATACTGGTGCATGATGTTTGTCTGCGCCATCTTGTTGAGTGCAGTATACTAAGCAAGCATGTAATCACACTTCCTCTCTCTTAGACACTCACTCAATGCCATGCAAAAGCACACCTGAAAACATTGTACACGTACATCATGCTGTTCAGCACTTACCCCGGATCTCGGGAACCGTATCGGTCATCACGGCCATCACGGCTATCACGGCCATCACGGCCACCACCATAGCGACCTCCTCCACCGCCACCTCCACGCTCATCGATCCGTACACCGCCTGGACCACGGGCGCTGCCACGTGAAAACTCAACAATGGCTCTGAGCACAGAGACGGTACGGCCACACACACACATGCACACACGTGCGAGCGCATCCGTGAGCTTCATCCCTGCTCTGAATCAAACCAATTCATGAGGTATACCATCCCATCGAAATTATGCCACTGAAGGGGTTGGGGTGAAACACCAGCAATTACACAAAGGAGGACAACATGTTACGAGTTATGACTAACTGTCCACCAACGTAACAAGATATTATACAGTCAGCGAGTGCGTTACGTTGGTGGAAAGTTAGTCATAACTCGTAACATTTTGTCCTACTTTTTTCACCATAATTTTAATTGGCTCACCATCCGAGTTAAATTACACAAAGAGATACATTTAATATACTGTTACCAACACAAAGACTATAAAACAAATGGTGGAGATAGGCCAACATTGTTTTACTTAAACTCATGTAAAACTGAGTCTAAATAACGCAACTAACCTGCTCCCAAGTAAATCTTTTCCATTCAAATCATGTATGGCGTCCTCGGCGTCATTACGGTCATCGAATTCCTACGAAATTGAAGACATATTTCACAAGAAACAAAAGAGGCATTGCAAAATCTAACAGGAAATTAACATGACTAAAAACTAAGCAGTGTACGTACAACGAAACAGAAGCCGTTCTTCATCGTCACATCACGGACGTAGCCATAGCCTTTGAAGAAACGCTCAATGTCGCGTTCTCTGGTGTCGCGAGGCAAATTGCCGACGTAAACACGAGGTATTCCACTCATTCTGAACAATGTTCTGCGCGTTTTTACAAAACAACAACAGTCGACAAGCTCGACCAAGCAAGCAACGTTGCAACAGCAGGTTTTTTTGTTTTCTGCACAACAATGCAAATCCTGCATTTTGAGTGGACATGACGTCATGTATTGTGACCAAAGTAACGTTGCCATGGTTTGTTTTGTAGACCTACAAAACGACGTCATAATTTATTGCGATTTACGGTACTAATAGTTACTGGTACGTACTTGGTAATTGTTTGAATCTGGCATTTTGTCATTGTATAATTATCAGGTTGCAAATTTCAATCACTTTCAGTGGTGTTAAATTTTGTTTGTGTGGGAAATTTCAATCGCGTGCACCTTTGACATGGATTACGAGGAATTTCTCACTCTCCACAAGACTCAACTACAAGCATCTGGTGTGCCAGAACACTTCTGGCCGACGGTGCACAGCAAAATCAGGTGCGATGTGTTCGATGCTGGAGAACGATTCAGGATGGGCTACGATGCCGATGAGAGTCTGTGGCGTGTTGAAATCATTGGAGAGTCCACTCTGAGTGTCACCGATGCCAACAATGTTTATTTGGTGGACCATGCTTGGACTTTTGAGTCAGTTCAAGCAGCCAAACACCAGCTGAAGCAAGTACCCAGTCTGTTGATCCGTATGGCACAGCTTGTAGAGTATGACTTTGGAGACAATGCTGTGGACGCTAGTGATGAGAATGCATACGATGCACTTATTGATAGTGTCATCGACCAGTTATGGAGATATATACATCAGTATCGTATTGTCAACCAAGAACAAGCTGAGCAGAAGCCCATCTGGTATGTGCTAGATGAGTTTGGCTCGCGTATACAGCACTCAGACACGCCAACGTTCAAAATGGCCCCTCTCCTTTTTGGCCCGGATCGTGTTGGCTATACACTGATGTGGCCGCTATGTGACGTTGATGTGGGCGACGAAGCAACAGTGGACTACGCATTTGGTGTAGAGTCTGATATGGCGCGTGCTGCACGCCTTGCTCCCTGGTTTCCGCAGCTTTTGCCGGAACTGGTCAAGTCGGATTCTAGCTGTCTGGATGTGAAGGCAGCTGAGGTGGCTGAGGAGCGCTGTGGGGAGAAGCTGCCCACAGCAGCCGCAGGTGCACAGCAAGATGGTCCCTCTCCCGATCGGCGCCCGTTGAAAGTGTTCACAGATCAGGACCTTATTAAAGGTTTTCTCTCAGATTCTCGGTTCACTATTGTTGACGAGCCCGAGGATGCCGATATCTTCTGGGTGGCAATACACTTCAAGGACTTTGAGGGATTGGCCAAACGCAGCCACTTCACATTCATAAACCAGTTCCCTTGTGAGAATGTACTCACCTGCAAGGATTTGCTGGTGAAAACTTCCCGGCGTGCTGTATCTGAAGGCATCTCGTCATCAGCACAAGCCACATCTGTTCCCCGTGGTACTGAAGTACCTGACTGGCTACCCGAATCTTACGACATGGTTACGGAGTTGCCACAGCTTGTGTCTCGTTTCTTCAGCAAGGCCGAGGATGAGGAGGACAACTACTGGATCTGCAAGCCATGGAACTTGGGTCGCAGTCTCGACATTCATGTTGTGAACAACCTAGCCCAACTTGTCCAGCTGTCACAAACTGGTCCAAAGGTTGCTTCACGTTATTTGACCAGGCCAGTCTTGTTTGATAGGGAGGGTGTTGGCAGGGTGAAGTTTGACTACCGTTACATCGTCTTCCTGAAGTCGGCACAACCACTGCAGCTATACGTCTACAAGGTGTTCTGGCTGCGCTTTGCTAACGTGCCATTCAGCCTGCAACAGCTGGAGAATTATGATCGTCACTTTACGGTGATGAACTATGTAGAGGAAGGCACAAAGCTTCACCAAATCAACTGCGAGCAATTTGCCCCGATGTTTGATGAGCAATTCCCGCAGACAAGCTGGGCAGCTGTAGAGCAAGATACATTCGAAGCGATCAAGGAGCTGTTCCGAGCAGCGGTGACTGGTGAAGCACCCGCTGCTATTGCGCCATGTGCCAACTCGCGTGGTCTCTACGCCCTGGACATCATGGTGGAGTGGCGCGGAGAAGGGGAGCATAAGATGCAGCCGCAGATTTTGGAGGTCAATTTCACACCAGATTGCATTCGCGCGTGCAAGTACCACCCACAGTTCTACAACCACACGTTCCGAACCCTCTTCTTGGACGAGGAGCTGGATGAGACTGTTGTACGCCTCATCTAGATACATGTATCTCTTGCACAGACACAAGAGAGGTATGCTTGCCTTCTGGCTTGGGAACCCGTGCACGTGAGATGTTTAGTTTGTACACGAGGTCCCACAGAGCATTGCGTGTGTGTGTGTGTGTGGGTGTGCGTGCGAGCTTGATACAACGGCATCCGTAAGGGTGTATGTTTGTGTGTTGTGTGCATGTTTTTAACAATTTGTTAGACCAATTTCACTCTGCCAGTATTTACCTGGGTAAGAGTTCATTAGAACGCTGTTCATATTATTTTCATGGCATTAGCATATTCTGTGTTTGCTGTGCACTTTGAATGACTGCTTTTGACTCTCTTTTTCTTAGCTGTATGGTAGCTGTGTAGTTCAGAACACTGAATAGCGTGCATGGATCCATGAGGCATGACCAAGTCACGAGCCGGGCACAGGGTGTGTGACTGTAAATGCGTGTGCATCTGCTCAAGTTGGTTTCCATGTCCTGAGGATGTGTCCGGTGTGTATCAAGTTACTATCAACACCCTTGCAGGGCTGGAGAAAACCCTAGCTAGCTGTTAATCACGTTCCACCAGATGACGCTAACATCAACACACCTGTACTTCAAAGTCCATGTACTGGAACGTAGAATAAAAATTTCAAATAACACAAGATTGACATCTCTATATTATCTTCCCACACGGTACAACTACAGATCTTGGAGGTCATCTACAACAAAAAGAAGAAGGAAAAACAGGACACCCTATGAAGAATGAGAAGAAATTTTGAAAAGAGAAGCTACTACTAGTAATAAAACTACGGATTGAAACATCAACCAAAGTGAAATTTAGTGGAAATTCTTCAGCAATGGATGCGGCTCTTTAGCCTCCATGGGAACGTGAACAGCATCTCCGTGGGTGGTGATGGTGTGGCGCAGAGAGCCAATTGAAATGGTGTAGGTGGCTGGGTGAATGTGACGCTCGCCCTGCATCGACAATCACACCAAGACACAATGGAAACAGGCACAATCACACCAAGACACAATGGAAACAGGCACACTCAGGTATGGTTTGTGAATAGCTGCTGGTGTTCTTTACATCACCAGGAGTGTCCTAGCAATGAGCCCCTATGTAGGCCAGCGTACAAGCATTGCGCTGCGCAAAAGCCTTTCATACTTTGTGTATGGTAATAATGGCGGGTACACGCATGACCTCCTCACGCGTTGCTGGCCAAAAGGCCAAAAGGTTGGTGCGGCCATGGCCAGACCAACTGGACCGGTTCCGCCGGGCCTGTTCTCACAAAGGTACTTTGGAACATCACAACAATGACTGCTGTAGGACATCATCCACTGCACTGTGTACACCCCGGGCAGCTATAGTCTTTGGGTGGTTGATTTCTTGCATGATACCCCGTAATAGAGACAGGTTTGCCTGGTATATGTATTTCACTGGACCTAAGTGTGCAGGCCGTGGAACAGTTACATGCAGTCCTCACCAGGTCACTTCAAGTCACAACTACAGTCGTGGCCAAAGAAATCCAACCCAAGAGTCAAAAGAAGCGCTGCATTTCCATTTCAACTACGTCATGCACGGTCCAAAAAACGATCCGAGGGTCACAGGGGCTGCATGAGCCTTGGCGCTGCTTTTGGCACGTGGGTCAGATTTCTCTGGCCACGGCTGTACATTGGAAATGAGTTAAAATGACTAAATACAGACAGAAGGACTAGATGGCTGGCACATACCTTGCCGTTGACAGCGGTGAATGTCTCCGCTGGGGCGGCAAAGAACAGCGACGCAGACTTGCCTGGCTCCAGCTTAACACGCTCAAAACCAAACAACTGCTTCATCGGTGCCCCTGGGACCTGTTCCACACAGAAAGTGCACAGAATGCAACAAGAAACGTAGCTTGTACATCATACCAATTGTCTGGATAATGCAAAATGCCAATTATTTTTTCCACGCAACTATCACCAGCAGTTGACTGAATAAGTGTGGATGGCTCAGAAACACATTGACAGAAAGACATCGGCAGAAGGCTACCCTGCCTCCGCATGCACCCAACTAATACAGTCAGCACCTTGTACAGTACATGTGAACTGGTGTTTGGGGTACCAATCACTCACCGATGATGTAATGTAAGCCAGGACAGAGTCATCACCAAGGATTTTGCCGGTGTTGGTGACCGTCACACGATAGTGGACGCCATCCTTCAGTTCATCAGTACTCAGCGACGATGCACCGAGTGTCTCAGTCCTGATGCAAGGCAAACAACAACAAAGGAGCGTAGTAACACATGAACGTAAAACACATATCCGTCATAACACAGGCACAAAATAAGTATTATTATACCCAGCTCATATTAACCCCCACTAATTCCTGTGATGCCGAAGCAACCATCCATGCAATGAGGGAGGCTTTCGACAAAGATGAAGTTGAAGGTGTGCTATTCGCAGATGCTACCAATGCGTTCAACAATTTGAACAGGCAGGCGTGTCTCCGTAATGTCCAGCATCTATGCCCCGATTTTGCGGCAACACTTGCCAACAACTACCGAGCACCGGCAGCAATGTTCGTAGATGGTGAGACCATATGGTCAGCTGAAGGCACGACACAGGGTGATCCCCTTGCTATGCCAATGTTTGCATTGGGCACTGTTCCGCTTATCCAGCATCTCTCAGCAAGCGACGTTCTTCAGAGCTGGTACGCTGATGACGCCAACTCCGCGGGCAAGCTGAGGAGACTGCGAGCCTGGTGGGACATGCTCGGTGTCGAGGGCGAGGCCTATGGCTACTACCTGAATGCCGCCAAGTCGGTACTGTTGGTCAAACCACAACACGAGGAGTTGGCAAGAGAGAGATCTTCAGCGGCACAGACGTTGTCATCAGAACGGATGGTCAACGTCATCTTGGGGCGGCTCTCGGAACAGAGGCATTCTGCAACGCGTATGTGCAGCTCAAGGTTGATGGGTGGTGCACAGAAGTCTGCAATCTGGCTGTTATTGCCATGACACAACCGCAAGCAGCCTACGTGGTCTTCACCAATGTCCTGCGCCATAGATGGTCCTTCTTAGCAAGGACAATGCCAGGTGTCCACGAGTATTTTCACCCACTGGAGCGGACTATTGCAACGAAGCTCATCCCGGCTCTGACTGGTCGATCACCACTTGGAGCAGAGGAGCAGTCAATTCTCGCAATGCCCTGCCGCCACGGAGGTCTAGGGATAGTCTCCCCTCCCTCGCTGACCACCCAGTTTGGTGCTTCCGTGAAGATCACAGAGGCCCTGGTCATGAAGATCAGGAGACAAGACATGTCGCTAGAAGGTGTTCCTGAGCAAACTCGCATAGCCAAGTCTGCTGTCCGGGAGGCTCATAGACAACAAGAAGAGCAGCACCGAAAGGATGTCTTCAACAGCGTCTCTCCCAACCTGCAGCGGTGCATGGAGCTTGCGGCGGAGAAGGGCGCATCCAACTGGCTAACCTGCCGCCCTTTGGCACAGTTTGGCTTTGCGCTCTCCAAGGCCGAGTTCCGGGATGCCCTCTGTCTGCGCTATGGCTGGCAGCCCAACAATCTCCTCACCAAGTGTGTGTGCGGGCAGTAGTTCACAGTCACCCATGCTCTGTCTTGCTCCAACGGCGGCTTTCCCAGCATTCGGCACAACGAGATCAGGGATGTGTTTGCAGAGTGTTTGGTGACAGTCGCTCATGCAGTGGAGATCGAGCCACATCTAGAGCCCCATAGTGGAGAGCACCTTCAGCCACGCACCGCGGTGAGAGGCGACCAAGCTCGATTGGATGTGGTGGCAATGGCGTGTACGGCGGTCGTTTTGAGCGTTCATTTTTGGATGTAAGGGTTTTCAACCCCTATGCTCGCTCTAATTCACCGTCGTCCATTGCCTCTGTCTACCGCAAACACGAGCAGGAGAAGCGCCACTTATACGGAGCACGTGTGCGAGAGGTGGAACATGCCTCCTTCATCCCTGTCGACTATGCTACATCTGGCGGAGCAGGTCGAAGTGCTATTGCTTTGGTGAAGAGGATCGCAAGTCTCATGGCCGAGAAGAAGTTGCAGCCCTACTCACAAGTGACGGCTTGGCTGAGGTCGAAGATCAGCATCTCTCTCGTAAGAGCCTCTACCCTATGCCTGCGCGGTTCAAGACGTCCTAGGGCACGCATCCATCTCAACCCAGACACTCTTGGTCTGGAGGTGGTTGAGGCTCGGCTTTCCTCATAGACGGACTCATCTTCTTCTTTTGTGATCAGTGTGCAATTGAACTGTCTTTTCCGTCCTTTCTCATTGATTGTTATTGGCCATGGCATCATGGTACGGATCGTATCATGCGTAGCACGACATGCACCTTTCTTTCTTTTCTAGACTATTATTAGATCTGTAGTATTCACACTTCGACCATATATGACATCAGAGAAAAAAACTAATTCCTGTGATCTATAACTGGGGAATATATCTCCATATTCACCACTTGAACTTGGGGTACAGGTGGAATCCTGATAATTAAACCTCCAAATGCCAGGAAAAAACTTCTAATTAGCCGGACATTCTAATTATCCAAACATGAACCCACAACACAATATGTATATCAAAATGCTCTCATGGTCACGCAGAGTTGCGCAAAGGACCTTAGACACAGATTTCACGGATACTGAACTGACCGGCACAGCCTGCTCATGCAAACTGAACTGACCAGTACAGTGTACAGTGAACTTCGAATTACACTTTGCTAACTTCGAATTATCAGCACAAATCCCACACATTTTCTATGTAAGTGGAATCCGTGGAACTTCGAATTAACCGGACATGTCTGGTTCGAGGTTCGAATTATACCCACTTGGAGGTTGTAACTTTTCGACTTTCAAGGGACTCCAATTGAAAAAGAAAAAAATTGAAGAGAAGAAAGAAGTTTGAGCAGAAATCAAACCTGCAAACATAAGATTCCCAAGCACCTATCTTGACCACCCAACCACCAGGGTGTTGATGCAGATGATGGTTTAAAGATAGGTCTTAGGTCTGGAACACGCAATGCTGCCTACACATAATAGTATACTATAGTATACTGGGATACTAAAATAGCTATTTCAGACCAGTATTTCAGGCCGAAAACAAAGCTAGGTATAAGAAGAATAAACACCTCTGTCTTGTGTTTATGGGAATATAAACCCTGTCTATAAAAACCTCGGCTACGCCTCGGTTTTTATCGCAGTGTTTATGTATAAACAGTATTTATCGGCCCTAGTGGTATTTTATAAACAGTATTTATTGGGTCAAAAGCCAATAAATACTGTTTATAAAATACCACTAAGGCTGCAACCACACTAGGTACAAAATCACGTACAAACTGCATTACAGTAGAAATCGTCATGCCGACGCGTGTGAAATGCAAAATGCGCTTTGTAGGTTTTCAGCAACTGGCGCACCCCTGTAGAAAGCCACGTTTGTCGTTTTCGTCGTTTTGGCGCTCCATAGGCCATCTCCTGTGTACTGTACAACTTTTTTTGTACCTGGTCTAGTGGTCGTCGTACATAACATCAGCATCAGCACTGTTTTTGAATTTCCCGGTCTTTTCCAGCGCATGGCATGGCAGGCACACGCTTTGGTACGACAACGTCACGTGCTGTTCGCGTGAAAACGTCAACTATGCAGACCGAAAAGTGTAGTGTGGTTGCGTACCGACTTGTACTGAGATATGCATGAAAATTTGTACTGTGATTTTTACGTAGTGTGGTTGCGGCCTTAGGCCAATAAATACTGTTTATAAATTACTCCTTTTTAGGGAAAAGTGGAGGGCTACATGGAAAAGTGCAGTGGTATTTATTGAGTCAAAGCAAATTTATTTGAATTTGATACTGTTGAGTGTGTGGTCACTAATGAGTGTGGGTATTTGATCAAAGGTCAATATATATTCCCATAAACACTACGACATCGGTGTTTATTCTATACATAACACAGGCATGTAATAACACATGTGTTTGAAATTCAGCACACGGCAACACACAACATGATCGGCAGAGTGACGGAAGAGGTACAGTACCCGTACCCAATTCCAACAATAATTTTCCATTTAGGCACATCACTTGATAGGCTATCCCGAGTGTTCCGTTCACAGAACTACTAGATATTTCTGGAATATTAAAGATGGCACTTAGACACAGCCGTGTGGCATGGAGGGTGTCCCGAGAGTGACCAGCGATCAGTTACTAGGACTCCACCAACCTACTGTAAAAGCAGAAATTTTCGGCGGTTCGGTGGAGGGAAATTTTCGGTAAAACCCGTTTTCCAGGTAAGTGTACAAGTACAACATCTATAGTACCGGTAATACCGAAATTTTCGGTGCGTTTTATTTTCGGTAAAAATTGTCGCCACCGAAGTTACCGAAAATAAAACACCACCGAAAAGTTCTGCTTTTACAGTACATAGAATATGTCATCCCCAAGAGAAAGAGAGATTCCGCTAAAGTCCCAAACAGCAAGTGCTTCCATACCACTCATAGGAGAACGTGGTGTAGCTGAGACCATCGCCAAAGCCGTAGGCTGCCTCGCCAGTGAAGAACTTGTACGTGCGACCCGGAGAGGAACGGAAGCTCATGTCAAACATAGAGATCTGATTGACGTAGGCATCTGGGTACTGCACACAACATAACGACAAGTGGCAAAATAACTAGAAAGACCCCAGTACACAATAATGGACAATCAGTGATGCTTCCTTCAATGATACCAACACTATGTTTGTGTTACATGTGTCCGCATTATGTATTGTATTGTATTGTATCGTATGGTATTGTATGGTACATGTATTGTATTGCAATGAAATGTATTGTATTGTATCGTATTGTATTGTATTCCACTGTATGGTATATGTGTGTATTGTGTTGTATGGATTCTCCAGAGGTGAACATATACCAATCTTGGGACTCTCCATTTTAACTGATCATGACACAAGTAAACGTATGTAGCAAGTAAGGTCCACAACAAAGACTTGAATGTGTGCACATACCCATAGCTGTGCACAGGCTCCTGTTCTTCAAAGACCATGTTCAAATTCTAAAACAACAAAATTCTAAGTCAACAGACTCAACAGTCTGAATGTGCTTATCACGTACAATAGTGTATGGCAAGCGTCCACCGGGGTTGTAAACTCCGAAAATGACATCAGCAATGGCTTGACCGCCAGACTGGCCGGGGTAGCCACACCAGATGATAGCTGGGATTTTGCTATTGGCCTAGTGAACAAGCACAGCGCACAAACACAACAGACACTGCAGTGGCGTTGTTGGTCCACCTTTCGGGGGGGGGGGGGGGCTGCATCCCTGGTTTCACAGCATGCACTGAACAGCAATCCCTAGGCCATTGGGCCAGAATATGTACATGCTGGATGAACCACAGGGGCAATGTACTGTTCATGTTAGACATGAGCTGCTTGCCATGAATTATGTCGGAGCAACAATAGACGTTACCTGCTAGCTGATCGACTGCCCCATGCTATTGCTGTGGCCCAGTGGTAAAATTCACCATACGTGATTCACCTTTTAATCCTCACGAGAATGCATTCCAGCGAGATACCAGTAGCTGAAAAGAAGTGGCGACTTGTAGCCATTACTTGCTGCAATGCAGTGGTTGCCTTGTTGGCATTGAGGAAGAGCTACCCATGGTCGAGCTCAAATCTAGAAGGTAATAGAAGTAGACATCCCATCAAGTACACCAACAAATACTGGACGATGCCAGAGATTTACTTACTTTAGCATATGTCAGGTCCACTGGTCCGCCGGTCATAACTACCAACACAACAGGTCCCTTGGCTGCTGCAGCTACAGCTGCCACCAATGTGTTCTGATTACCGGGCAAGCTGATGTTGGTACGGTCATGTCCTTCACTAAGAGTCCACAATACACGTACATGTACGTGCACAGGTGCGTACACACACATGTAGACATGCACACAGACACAAGCACATACACAGGTACGTAAACACACACACACACACACACACACACACACACACACACACACACACACACACACACACACACACACACACACACACACACACGCACACACACATATGTGAATACACAAGCACACAACGTGTCAAAGCAATCAAGCTGCACGACAGAAATACATGAGCCGTGATCAGCTAAAACCGACCTATAGCTTTGGCCGAAAAATCGAGAAAAACACGTTTTGTAAAATTGCGGGAAAGTAGCCATGCTTCGAAGAAGAAAGGCGATGGATTGTTGTTTAGGCCGTTCTCTTGGGCCTTGCAAGCACAAAGCAGCATGAGGTAAGCCGTGCTCCGGTCCGTGCCGACAAGTATCCGAGATGCAGCCCGGTTGGGCAGCGTGCCTTCGCACTAAAGTGCGAGAGTATGTAAACGACTCGCCGTCGCAGTATAATATATGCCACGGAGTTGAAGATGCCAGTCAACAAAATTAATTAATGCTTGAAGCTGAGGACCAGTCATTTTTCGGTCTCGACTTTGCGGCTGGCGCTGCAGATGAATCGGATGAGAGTGAAGACGAACCGCCAGAAAACGTACTGCTATGGCGACGATGAAAATGAATTTTATAGTGACGACGGGGATGAAGAGTTGCAACTTGCAGCTGCTGCTGGAGCAGCGCACATTGCTGCGCAGATTGAAGACATTCGAAGTATCGGCTGTGGATGTCAAACTAATCACTGGATGGTCATCGTCCGACTCATCGACCCTTCTGAACTGGAAGAGTTCATGGTTGATGTGCGATCACATCACTGCGGGAATCTGAGGTGAAAACATTAGCGCTGGGTGTGTTGTCTGCATGCTCACGCCCCAGTGCAGCATTCCCAGGAGGACAGCCATTGTCAGTGGACACTTGACTAGCGGAAGAGTAAAAAGAGGAGCAAATCAGTGCCTAATACGATGATGAAGCGGCTGAGTTATCAGCACCAATTTGAATGCCTTACACAGATATCTGGCCACCTCGTAGCAGCTGAAAAACTAATCAAAAAATCCCAAAACACGAAGGCGATGAAGGAGCTGAAGGGCGTGAGCGAGGTCCTACAGAAGAGGCTGGACTGGCTGGCAGTGGCGGACCGCCATGGCCATGACATCGCCATAGCGCTCTCAGAAGGTGACGGCATGGCTGGCCTCTTGGAAAGTGCAGACAAACGCAAACGTCTCCGCCTGGCAATCAAAGCCACGAAACAGGGGAAGGGTGGCAACCAGCCTGCTGCATCTAGGGGTAGAGCCCAAGCTCCCCCCCCCCCCCCCCCCCCCCACCTACTTACCTGCTTCGTCCAGCAAGAAAAACGTATTCATGACATTCCAGGAAATGGAGGGTGTGCCACGAATGTACTATGCAATATTTTGCTTGTGTACCTTTTGTAGGGATATCAGAAATCAACACTTGCACACGAAAATGTGACTTGAAGTAGATTGGCCCGACTACCTTGTGTGTTGAGGCACCTCGAGTTGTTGTGCAGAATCAAAAAGTTATATGCGATGCTATGGGTATATCCTCTTTTACAGCAGCGATTCTGTCTCTGTAGAATTGACGCTCACACGCTGCATCGGCTAGGTGCTTCTGAACATGTGCAGTAGCAGTTTCGGCCTCCTCTTCAGTTTCGACCTTCGGATTTTTCACCCACTTCATTGCAGAGTACGCATAGAAGTGCGCTACTCTTGGACATGGTACGAATGGGACGCCTGTCTGAAGCAGTATTTCAAGCCGATTCCTGGTATAACGAAGTACCAGCACTTTGGCATCAGAAATGAAAGTCCAGGAAAGCTGAGCACGCAAGAGTCTTGCGATGGTGATTGGGCTGAAATGAATCTCTTCAAATCCAACGCCACGCCACGATGGAGAATGTCAAGTCTGCCGCCATGCCTTCGAGTTTGCCACCCGCTAGTTTGGCCGAGAAGCACGGAACACAGCTGGAGAAGGAAATCAAGCCCTACCTGCGTGAGGAATCAACCCCACCACGCTCTGCAAGTACACAGTATACTGAAGAGGAGCAGAGCGACTATATTTAGCTGAGACATATTTTGAGATGTTACGCATATAATTTGGACTTGAGTGTATATACTTCTGATAGGGGTTTACCCACTTCTCTTGGTCAGATATACTTGAAACTTGGTGAACATCACCCTAACATTCCAATAAACGTTTTTCAGTAAAACGATTTTGAAAATTTTGACCTATAGGTCGGTTTTTGCTGTTCACGGCTCACATGTACATGTATCTACACAACCACAGACCACAGTGGACACAAGCTGTCAGAGAGATCTCTCATATGTATACTGGATTATTTAGATCCAGTTTATAAAGATGTGTATGGAAAAGCCGTACCTCTCCTGTCCTTGATCCAAACCAACGACAAGCACGACAAAGTCACTGGCAGCCGCTGCCTTCGTGGCGTCTTCAAACTTGGATGTGTCGGTACACTTGACATCACATCCCTGCACCTGTGTCACCTGAACACCAGCCTTCTGCAAACCCTCCTGCGGACTGACCAAGTATGGTGCAGTTCCCTACATGGACAACAAGAAGAAAATCCAGAAAGAGAAGAAAATCCAGAAAGAGAAGAAAAGAGAAACTGGTGAATGTATACACCTACTAGTAATTCTGACAGTAGATAGCAGTACAGGAAAGTACAGGAAAGTACAGGAAAGTACAGGAAAGGGTTTGCTCCCCACACTGGAGCGCGCACTATTCCGCCGACTTGGCCTGACACTTGACTGACTCACGACTGCAATCCAGAGCAAGTCGGCGGAATAGCGCGCGCTCCAGCGTGGGGAGCAAACCCTTTCCTAACAATCATTGCTGAAGTCGCTACCACTGTTTCGTAGATAACAGTACACACACAGAATTCAAATTCAGGACCCGCATTAGAAGCTGTGGAAAGAGCAGCATAACGTACATGGTAATTGCCTTGCATAGTGCCAGTAGCGGCTGAGTTGGGTCCAATCACTGCAACAGTGGTGGTCGTCGCTGCCTTCATCGGCAACACACCTGCATGACATGTATACAGCAATAGTACACGGATTAGTTTCAAGATTGCCACAGCACGACGGGGAGCGGGGAGAGCTGGAGGGTTTAGCTAGACCAACACTTTGGAAAAGTATGTTTGCCACAACCTGGGGCAGTAGGGTGCACAGTGAGTTACAAAGCTCAAGACAAAGTTGTCTGAGCTGTGCAGGCAAGAAGGTACTGGTGCTACAACGATACATGTGGTTAATTAACAGCATGGTAGCAAACAGATTGAAACAAAAACAGCACAGTATTAGAATGTTGCAATCGTCACACAGCATGATGTCAGCATACACATTACACACCTTCAGTGTTCTTCAATAGAACCATGGATTCGCGTGCAGCCTCCAGTGCAAGCGCCTGCACACATGGCAAAACAGAGCAGCAGAGTAGAACTCACAAGCAGAATCATACCACTACTGATACACGCATTTCATCATTGTCCTTGCTACCTTGCTACCTTACTACATGGCCAGTACAAGGGAGAACGATATGACAGTGGCTTGGCTACCAAGACATTCTGATAAGAAGCTGTTCACAGGATTGAAGCAGAAACGCAACTTCACCTTTAGCCAAAAGTAATACAAACGGTCAGACTGCTCAGACTCTATCCTTGAAAAGGTGATGAAATACCCCAGCTACACAAGTGCAGTGTACAACAAGCTATTACCGCTACAGTGTATATACATGTGCAGCTGCTCTAAATGCTTGTCAGTGGCATGATCTCTACATGCTTGTCAGTGGCATGATCTCTACATGCTTGTCAGTGGCATGATCTCTACATGCTTGTCAGTGGCATGATCTCTACATGCTTGTCAGTGGCATGATCTCTACATGCTTGTCAGTGGCATGATCTCTACATGCTTGTCAGTGGCATGATCTCTACATGCTTGTCAGTGGCATGATCTCTACATGCTTGTCAGTGGCATGATCTCTACATGCTTGTCAGTGGCATGATCTCTACATGCTTGTCAGTGGCATGATCTCTAACTTACATGCTTGTCAGTGGCATGATCTCTACATGCTTGTCAGTGGCATGATCTCTAACTTACATGCTTGTCAGTGGCATGATCTCTACATGCTTGTCAGTGGCATGATCTCTACATGCTTGTCAGTGGCATGATCTCTACATGCTTGTCAGTGGCATGATCTCTACATGCTTGTCAGTGGCATGATCTCTACATGCTTGTCAGTGGCATGATCTCTACATGCTTGTCAGTGGCATGATCTCTACATGCTTGTCAGTGGCATGATCTCACCTGGTGTTCTGCAGTGTTGACCTGCTCTACACCGATATGTTCATAGGGCTGTTCAGCTACTGGATCAAACATACCCAGAATCATACTGCATGAACACACACATGCACACACGCAAATGTACACACACTATTAATAAGACTATTGTACAATGTGCAGTGTGTTTGTGTGTGGGCGTGTGTGTGTGTGCGCGCACACGTGTTTGTGTGTGTGGGGGCATACGTGTACAAGTATGGCAATTGAGGGCGCAGCAAATACCAATGAAGTGAACTGTCTTCGGCACTTTTTGCAGTATTATTTAGTACTTTGCACATCTTATCTTTTGCCTGCCTATTGAAGAAATTAGCTCTGCATATTAGTGACGGTTGGAAAGTTACAAAATTCAATTTATCCCCAGCACGTGTCACCAGCCTGAGCTTGTGTCTCTTCTTCAAGGACGCTACGCCTCTACAGATCTGGAGTGCTTGGCCCTTTTGGAAGAAAGAAAAACGTCAATATGATATGGGACGGATGAGGCATGGAACCTCCTGGAAGTACCCGGGGATTGTGTGTGTGTGTGGGGGGGGGGGGGGGGCAGGAGCAGAGGAGACAAAACAAAAACCAAAAAATACGATCACGCCAGGATTCGAACCTGGAATCTCCTGATTCGTAGTCAGGCGCCTTATCCGTTGGGCCACGCGACCAGCTATGATAAGGGTAGCTGATCATGATCAGATGGAATTGCTTTCTAGTTTCTAGGCCGCACCAGGACCTACCGGAAACCAAACAAACGTCCCACAGCATAGTCCAGATCGCCTTCAGTGATGGTCTTCTTGTCCAATGCAGTCTACACAGTGACAGTCACAGTGCCAGAAACCAGCAATACCAGCAGCAACCAAGCGAATCAAGGAGTGATGACAGACAAGCGCCTACGTAAATTTCCTACACCAGAGAGTCCCACCAAGAATACGATCACTCAGTTGACCATTTTGTGACCGTCTAGTGATGCAAAGGGAAGCAAGAAAGAACAGGTTTGTGCTGGTTGTCCCAGAAAACCAAGTTTGATGGAGATAACGTTTCATACCAAAAGACCATCAAGTGAGTGGCTACCAGGGGGGAGTTTTCCAGAAGAGCATGTTCATGGACATTGCAAAAAAGTGCCTATGTACATACACATTAAATATTATGTCTGAAAGCGCCCCTTCTGCAGCATGGACGGTGAAATGCTGAGAGTGCATAGTGCGCAGGAGCTTTGATTATAGAGCAAAGTGCATGCGACAGATTGGATTCAACCTTTTCACTACGCGTGACGTACTATTAGTCTATTACATGATGTGCAGTGCCATTTTACTTCACATTACATACTATTGCATCAAGTGCAGTGTCATTGCATTAAGCATGACATAATAGTACTTTGAAGTATGTCGTGAAAGGACAGACAAGATAGTCAACTGGCGAAAGTGTGTGCTGTGCTGGATGACTCTGAGTCGCTGAACAGCACCTGTGGCAATGCGTAGGTGCCGTACATTGTTATAAACAAATTGAGAGTCGATCCGTGCTTGTACACAGAAGTTGCACGTGAGTTTCAACGGGATGCAAATTGCAGCATTTTCTAGATGGCTCATAGGCACAGACATAGACACAGTTCACAGTTCAAAGTTTATCAGGATTTTTGAAATTTAGCCAACTATTACTTGGCCTCCACGGTGGATGACGTTTCGTGTGGATCCGTGCTCAAATGGTAAAGTAAAAAATACGGTACACCAAACCTATGAATATAGTATTTGATGCATTGGGGCTCCTTGTGTACTAGTTTGTGTGTGAAGTGCGAGGGTACAGTGAGGCCTGAGTTCCATTAACCTGCGCAGTTTCGCAGTCTGAAAAGAATGTTGAACGGTCGCCGCTTGGAGGACGACTACACAATAGCGTAGTGGCTAGAGCATCCCAGGTTGCTGGTTCAAGTCCTGGTGGTGACAGTCAGCTGTTTCTCCAGACTTTTCTCCCTTTTCAGTTCCTCAAACTTATGAATACCCGTACAGCATACCTGAGTATTGCCTGGGTAGAATCCACCACAGAATACCTGTACAGCATACCTGAGTATTGCCTGGGTAGAATCCACCACAGTCAAGATCACAACCACCATGGAGTCCTGCAGCGACCGTATCCTCAGGTGTCTTTGTGTACCTATAGGGATAACCAAACACAGCAGTGTCATGTGGCAACAGATGGTGGCAGCAGTGCATGTAGAACAGTAGAAGACGATCAAAAAACAACCCCATGCCTGTGCCAGCTCTCAACCCAGTCAGCACCACAACTCCTACTGTCTCTACAAAAGCAAAAAGGTAAGCTGTGTCAATATTTATTTTCTTCAAATGTTTCTCCTTTCAACACCCCCACCTGATGAATAAGCTGTAATCACACACTGTCACATGAATCCATTCATGAAGGAAGCTGAACACATTGGTATGGCCACAACTAAGGAACAGATGAACTGGCTTACTGATGTGCATGCATTATGTTGCCGATGGCGCCACAATCACTGACCTTCCGTCACAACAAGGAGGATTATGATTGTAACATGTACAGAGACATAAACATCCACACACATTCACACAAGCCCAGGTACATGTGCACACACACACACACATACACATAACCATGCATGCCCGTATGGACGCATCCAAAACACACACACACGCACGCACGCGCAAACGCACACACACACACAGGAAACTCAGCACAATCGGCTTACTGGTGTGCTGACATTATTCTCTGGATTGCTCCACAGTCACTAACCTTCCATCATGCAGGAACAGCAACACATGCACATGAATAAAATACAAGTCAGAGACAGGTGGTCATGGAAGAAAGAGCTCAAAATAAACTGTTGAGCAGTGGAGTATTCCCCAACCCCCACCTTCATGAAAAAACGACAGAGAGAGAGAGGGAGGGAGAGAGAGAGAGAGAGAGAGAGAGAGAGAGTGAGAGAGAGAGAGAGAGTGAGAGAGAGTTCACTACACAACACCATGCACTATACGAAACATACCATGTAGCCACGGAAGCCAAACTGGCCACGCGCCATCTCGTTCATGATGAAGTTGTTTGCACAGCTCGGTACACCGTTGACTGCATTGTAGCTGGGCAAGAGGTTATCCAACATGTACAGGTAAAGAATGTTACTCGTGTATTCATGATATAGATGACATTGAACATGCATTCTTCTCAACTCACATTACAAAGAAACGAGCAAATTCACCCCACGAATGTGAAAGCAGAAGGTCTCAGACGATATTTCCCATAGTACATGTATTAGTATCCCAGTTCTAACAGTGGAATGAATCCAAGTTCCAACAGTGGAATGAATCCCAGTTCCAACAGTGGAATGTATCCCAGTTCCAACAGTGGAATGTATCCCAGTTCCAACAGTGGAATGAATCCCAGTTCCAACAGTGGAATGAATCCCAGTTCCAACAGTGGAATGAATCCCAGTTCCAACAGTGGAATGTATCCCAGTTCCAACAGTGGAATGTATCCCAGTTCCAACAGTGGAATGTATCCCAGTTCCAACAGTGGAATGTATCCCAGTTCCAACAGTGGAATGTATCCCAGTTCCAACAGTGGAATGAATCCCAGTTCCAACAGTGGAATGAATCCCAGTTCCAACAGTGGAATGTATCCCAGTTCCAACAGTGGAATGTATCCCAGTTCCAACAGTGGAATGAATCCCAGTTCCAACAGTGGAATGAATCCCAGTTCCAACAGTGGAATGAATCCCAGTTCCAACAGTGGAATGTATCCCAGTTCCAACACAGGAATGTATCCCAGTTCCAACAGTGGAATGTATCCCAGTTCCAACAGTGGAATGTATCCCAGTTCCAACAGTGGAATGTATCCCAGTTCCAACAGTGGAATGAATCCCAGTTCCAACAGTGGAATGAATCCCAGTTCCAACAGTGGAATGTATCCCAGTTCCAACAGTGGAATGTATCCCAGTTCCAACAGTGGAATGTATCCCAGTTCCAACAGTGGAATGTATCCCAGTTCCAACAGTGGAATGTATCCCAGTTCTAACAGTGGAATGAATCCCAGTTCCAACAGTGGAATGTATCCCAGTTCCAACAGTGGAATGTATCCAAGTTCCAACAGTGGAATATATCCCAGTTGCAACAGTGGAATGTATCCCAGTTCCAACAGTGGAATGAATCCCAGTTCCAACAGTGGAATGTATCCCAGTTCCAACAGTGGAATGAATCCCAGTTCCAACAGTGGAATGAATCCCAGTTCCAACAGTGGAATGTATCCCAGTTCAAACAGTGGAATGAATCCCAGTTCCAACAGTGGAATGAATCCCAGTTCCAACAGTGGAATGAATCCCAGTTCCAACAGTGGAATGAATCCCAGTTCCAACAGTGGAATGAATCCCAGTTCCAACAGTGGAATGTATCCCAGTTCCAACAGTGGAATGTATCCCAGTTCCAACAGTGGAATGAATCCCAGTTCCAACAGTGGAATGAATCCCAGTTCCAACAGTGGAATGTATCCCAGTTCCAACAGTGGAATGAATCCCAGTTCCAACAGTGGAATGTATCCCAGTTCCAACAGTGGAATGAATCCCAGTTCCAACAGTTGAATGAATCCCAGTTCCAACAGTGGAATGAATCCCAGTTCCAACAGTGGAATGAATCCCAGTTCCAACAGTGGAATGAATCCCAGTTCCAACAGTGGAATGTATCCCAGTTCCAACAGTGGAATGTATCCCAGTTCCAACAGTGGAATGAATCCCAGTTCCAACAGTGGAATGAATCCCAGTTCCAACAGTGGAATGTATCCCAGTTCCAACAGTGGAATGAATCCCAGTTCCAACAGTGGAATGTATCCCAGTTCCAACAGTGGAATGTATCCCAGTTCCAACAGTGGAATGAATCCCAGTTCCAACAGTGGTATGTATCCCAGTTCCAACAGTGGAATGAATCCCAGTTCCAACAGTGGAATGTATCCCAGTTCCAACAGTGGAATGTATCCCAGTTCCAACAGTGGAATGAATCCCAGTTCCAACAGTGGAATGTATCCCAGTTCCAACAGTGGAATGTATCCCAGTTCCAACAGTGGAATGTATCCCAGTTCCAACAGTGGAATGTATCCCAGTTCCAACAGTGGAATGAATCCCAGTTCCAACAGTGGAATGTATCCCAGTTCCAACAGTGGAATGTATCCCAGTTCCAACAGTGGAATGTATCCCAGTTCCAACAGTGGAATGTATCCCAGTTCCAACAGTGGAATGTATCCCAGTTCCAACAGTGGAATGTATCCCAGTTCCAACAGTGGAATGTATCCCAGTTCCAACAGTGGAATGTATCCCAGTTCTAACAGTGGAATGAATCCCAGTTCCAACAGTGGAATGTATCCCAGTTCCAACAGTGGAATGAATCCCAGTTCCAACAGTGGAATGTATCCCAGTTCCAACAGTGGAATGAATCCCAGTTCCAACAGTGGTATGTATCCCAGTTCCAACAGTGGAATGAATCCCAGTTCCAACAGTGGAATGTATCCCAGTTCCAACAGTGGAATGTATCCCAGTTCCAACAGTGGAATGTATCCCAGTTCCAACAGTGGAATGAATCCCAGTTCCAACAGTGGAATGTATCCCAGTTCCAACAGTGGAATGTATCCCAGTTCCAACAGTGGAATGTATCCCAGTTCCAACAGTGGAATGTATCCCAGTTCCAACAGTGGAATGTATCCCAGTTCCAACAGTGGAATGAATCCCAGTTCCAACAGTGGAATGTATCCCAGTTCCAACAGTGGAATGTATCCCAGTTCCAACAGTGGAATGTATCCCAGTTCCAACAGTGGAATGTATCCCAGTTCCAACAGTGGAATGTATCCCAGTTCCAACAGTGGAATGTATCCCAGTTCCAACAGTGGAATGTATCCCAGTTCCAACAGTGGAATGAATCCCAGTTCCAACAGTGGAATGTATCCCAGTTCCAACAGTGGAATGTATCCCAGTTCCAACAGTGGAATGAATCCCAGTTCCAACAGTGGAATGAATCCCAGTTCCAACAGTGGAATGTATCCCAGTTCCAACAGTGGAATGTATCCCAGTTCCAACAGTGGAATGAATCCCAGTTCCAACAGTGGAATGTATCCCAGTTCTAACAGTGGAATGAATCCCAGTTCCAACAGTGGAACGAATCCCAGTTCCAACAGTGGAATGAATCCCAGTTTCAACAGTGGAATGTATCCCAGTTCCAACAGTGGAATGTATCCCAGTTCCAACAGTGGAATGAATCCCAGTTCCAACAGTGGAATGAATCCCAGTTCCAACAGTGGAATGAATCCCAGTTCCAACAGTGGAATGAATCCCAGTTCCAACAGTGGAATGTATCCCAGTTCCAACAGTGGAATGTATCCCAGTTCCAACAGTGGAATGAATCCCAGTTCCAACAGTGGAATGTATCCCAGTTCCAACAGTGGAATGTATCCCAGTTCCAACAGTGGAATGTATCCCAGTTCCAACAGTGGAATGAATCCCAGTTCCAACAGTGGAATGTATCCCAGTTCTAACAGTGGAACGAATCCCAGTTCCAACAGTGGAATGAATCCCAGTTCCAACAGTGGAATGAATCCCAGTTCCAACAGTGGAATGAATCCCAGTTCCAACAGTGGAATGAATCCCAGTTCCAACAGTGGAATGAATCCCAGTTCTAACAGTGGAATGAATCCCAGTTCCAACAGTGGAATGTATCCCAGTTCCAACAGTGGAATGTATCCCAGTTCCAACAGTGGAATGAATCCCAGTTCCAACAGTGGAATGAATCCCAGTTCCAACAGTGGAATGAATCCCAGTTCCAACAGTGGAATGTATCCCAGTTCCAACAGTGGAATGTATCCCAGTTCCAACAGTGGAATGAATCCCAGTTCCAACAGTGGAATGAATCCCAGTTCCAACAGTGGAATGAATCCCAGTTCCAACAGTGGAATGTATCCCAGTTCCAACAGTGGAATGTATCCCAGTTCCAACAGTGGAATGAATCCCAGTTCCAACAGTGGAATGTATCCCAGTTCCAACAGTGGAATGTATCCCAGTTCCAACAGTGGAATGAATCCCAGTTCCAACAGTGGAATGTATCCCAGTTCTAACAGTGGAATGAATCCCAGTTCCAACAGTGGAATGAATCCCAGTTCCAACAGTGGAATGAATCCCAGTTCCAACAGTGGAATGAATCCCAGTTCCAACAGTGGAATGAATCCCAGTTCCAACAGTGGAATGAATCCCAGTTCCAACAGTGGAATGTATCCCAGTTCCAACAGTGGAATGTATCCCAGTTCCAACAGTGGAATGAATCCCAGTTCCAACAGTAGAATGAATCCCAGTTCCAACAGTGGAATGAATCCCAGTTCCAACAGTGGAATGTATCCCAGTTCCAACAGTGGAATGTATCCCAGTTCCAACAGTGGAATGAATCCCAGTTCCAACAGTGGAATGAATCCCAGTTCCAACAGTGGAATGAATCCCAGTTCCAACAGTGGAATGAATCCCAGTTCCAACAGTGGAATGAATCCCAGTTCCAACAGTGGAATGAATCCCAGTTCCAACAGTGGAATGAATCTGAAAGGTAACAAACTATCCAGGGAATCCATTCTGTAGGACATCTCACGCATTTTCAAAACATTTGACGATTTCCGCGAGACCCCGTCAGACTGAGGTCTCCTCATCCGTAGAAACACCACCATCCTCAAGGATCAAGGCGCAACTGCAGCTACTCCTCACATGCGCGCACGCGTGCTTTTTAACGGAGAATGGCATTTCTATTTGGTCCGTGGATGGGTACATACCTACACATGATGCTTCCAGCAAGTGGTGAGCATGCTTGGAACGCGGGGAAATAGGACTGTAAGCACACAGCATACACCACACCGCACACAATACACGGCACACAGCATACAATACATGATGTACATGTCCATGTACAGTGCAATCGGGGACTCAATAAAAGAGAAATTTCTAAACAAGATCGATGGTCATATTCCTGCTCCAGTGTGTTCTCGGGTTCGATGGCCTTCAGCCTCTGCCGCTACTGATGGGTTACCGTACAGCTGCACGGAGGAAAACAACACATGGCTCTAATGTCCGGACACTCCTGAATTCTTGAACTGCAGACACTGCTGAGAGAGTACTGTATGGAAACCATACTATGTATACCAAACAGGGAAGGAACCACACAAAATGCAAACATCTCAACATTGAAACTATTTTCAAAAGCCACAGAATCATATTGAATTATTGCACCGTCAGCCTTCACAATTGGAACAATTGTTAATACACATTGAGGGTATCTTCAGATTGCGGTAGAGAAACATTCATATGAAACATGAGCTGGTTTTAGAGGACTCACCTCGACAAAGTCTTGGTCACTGACGTTAGCATTGAAGTGGAAGCGATCAACATGATTCCAGTTCTCAAGATCTAAAATAGAATAAAAACAGAGTCAGCCAAAAATATCACATTGTCAACACAATTCAACCACGGTCATGCGAGCCAGTTGCAGCAGCAGTAGGCGATTGTTAGGTACTTGTCAGACAGGAGTAAGAATGTGACAAATGTTGGACATAATAGAAATCGGCTGATCGATAATCTCACCATAAGCAGCATAGTGCTTGCAAGTCGCAACAACCTTGAAATACCTGGGAAAGGAAGAACAGGCAGAGAATGAAAGGCTGAGCATATACTAGTACAATATGCACATGGAACCCAACGTTCCTGCATGTCTATTTTCTACACTCATGAAGTAACGAGCATGTTCAACTTGGTTCACACAAGCCCATGCAATCGACTCCGAAAGGCATCAACGACGGGCCCAGCTTCGGTCAGCCCGGTGCCAGGCGAAGAAGATTATGTGCATACGGCCTGAGGACGAATTAGAGCACAACACCACTATAAAGTAGCACAAGTTACACAAAAATGCTACAACAGGAATGCAAATTGAAGCGTGAATTCTTTTTATTGCCTGTAGTTTATGGGGTAGCAGGCATCTTTATATGCTGGCCATGCAGCGTTATCTCTGACTGCGGGGAAGAGTTGAGAACGAGTCAACTCGCACTGCCCTGCCCTCCAGCGAGGAGGATGGTAAAAACTCATTCTAGTGCACACCTACTTCAACGTAACCACAATCACTGATTTGTCAAAACGAGTGCTGATACTACCATGACTACTAACCGAGTGTCATATCCAAACTGCATGCCATTGACAAAGTTCTTGGCGTACTCGGACGTCAAGAAGGGATCTGAAACGACAGCATTGTTGAACATAAATGGCAACTTAGGTTATGAACATGACAAAGACAAACGTGATTTTAATCTGTTGCACAATGCAAGGCAAAGATTCAAACCTTGACCTTTAGCATCACCTCTATTTTTAAACCTTGAAAGGTAAAAATAGCACAGAAACAGATCACATCATAGTGCAGGGCTCACACTCATTTCACTAATCATGATACCATCAGATAATTCTGTGTTCTCAGAGAGCAAATCAGTGCCGGCGGTAGCTTCAGCCCTCACCAACGTGCGCTCGGGCGCGGAGCATGCTCCGAATTGTCCTTCTACGATGACAACTACAGCTATGGACAATGTGTCATGTGACGAGTTTGCGGGAGGCGCTAAGCTACCTGCCAGCGTGCTGCACGTGCCAGAGGAGACCATTAGGATTTTTTTACGGGTGGAATACGTTGAGCTGGCCACCCTGCTCCCCTGCCGTTCAGCCCACATGGAGGTGGCGACCAAACGGTTCAAAATTGACCAAACAGAGCGCAATGAACTTGTCCTTTCGAGTCCCTCCTCCAGCACGAGGAAATTAAAATCCATCATCGACTACTGGGGTGAAGCCTGGTCGATTTCAGCACCATTGTGTAACATGCCGCAGATGGTGAATGGTCTCATGCAGCACCAGCCTGCGATCACGCGAGGGGGGGGGGGGAGTGATTACTGCTGGTTGGGCAGGACTAGCATTGGTTGGTTTAGAAACGAAGCATCTAATCAACATGTACATTCTATCTAGGTACAGCAGTGCATTCAGCACCACGTTGGCAATCAGTTTGGAAAAATATCAACCACTAGTACCGCCCTGTTAAATATAAATGCTTCCGTCTCATAGACATAGTGACGTGTCCGCTACTACACCCTAGAAAAGCAGGTCTTACGTGCACATACAACAGGTTACAGCATTCATAGAGTGTACACAGGATGCTGACCTTCACCCGGTGTCTCTTGGCCTCTGCCCCAGCGTGGATCACTGTAGAAGTACAACGGGCAGAAGGCAACAGTACAACACATTACAACTCTCCACAATTCAGAAGAGGCTAATTGTTCACGGCGAAAATCAGACACCAGCGAAACGTCGCTATAACATGCCAACCAATAGGGTCTTGCACCACAACTACACGGCTTCTACAGGCAGATAGCCGCACATGTCATTGTGTTCAGCCTACACACTGTACTACGTAAGGCAGAGTCTGAAACAGTCAGAATGGCTGCGTACTGAAGAGGGCTGAGAAGACCTGCACTGATACACACACTGTGCACAACTCAGACAACTCACCGGTAGATGTTAATGTTGGGTGCAAAATAGGTCAGTCCAGCATGGCCAACATTAGCGAAGGCTCTTGCTTCAGTAGAAATCACACCACCCATCACCTTAACCATGGTCCTGTAGCAGTACAGATTATCACATACACACATGCTGACATAGTATGATACATACCGTACTTCCCCACATATAAGGGCATGGGCTTACAAGTGAAAATTTGCCACAAAAAAGATTTTTTGCGGTGTGAACATGTTCAGGTAGAAGCCCATGCGCTTATATGTGCAATAACGGTTTGTCTGTGTCCTAAACAACGGTGTTATCACAATGCTTAGCAGTATATTCAGCTTCCAGGTGTTTCACCAATAGTGTTCACATATAAGCGCATGCACTTCTGTCCGGACATAAGCACATGCGCTTATATGTGCGGAAGTGCGGTACATACATACATGGCTTGCTGTTTACAGCATTGGGTATTATGCTCCTCAGCTTTCGTCTTGTTGAGCACTCTCGGTAGGCTGCTCTAGTACAGCTGCACTACGCATTGCCCGCTACTTTTCGTAGTTAGAGCACTCTGGCGCTAGAGCGACGAGCTATCTTAATGTCTGTGGTGCCTCCTTTGCACCATGGCTGGTAACTCGGCTTGCTTAAAGCTCGTAGCTGTACTGATGAGGCCTTTATAGCCGAAACAGCTTGCTGTCTACAGCACTGGGTACATACATACATACATACATACATACATACATACATACATACATACATACATACATACATACATACATACATACATACATACATACATTGACACCGGCAAGTGAGAAGTGTATAAAGAGAGCAAATTCAATACCAACACATTCATGCTCTGCCGTGCATGTGCTGGTACAGTGCGGACAGTAAAACAGCCCCTGATCATTGGTACTGGATACGCATTCAGGTGAGACATAGGTAGTAGTGTGGGGAACCGGGTGGGATATATCAAAGCAACAACGTGAATAGAAACCATTAAGTACCAGCAGCAGCAGCAGCAGCAGCAGCAGTGCCAGCAGCAGTGCCAGCACCAGCAGCAGCACAACCATAATGTGGCATAACAGCATACTTATTGAATGTTGCTCCGAGGTTGATGACTTGTGGGAATGAGGTGGCATACGGTGTCTGCAGGAAGAACACCACAAGTGCAGTCAACATGTAACCTTGATGCTTGAAGTAAGATGCACGGCTAACAGTGCTGAAATAATATACAAGTATCAACATATGACTTGCATGTGGACATTCCACACAGCAAAATGCATCCAAAATACACCATAGGAGCTCGACAACAGCAGCAAATGAGCTAGTGCACGTCAGTAAACACAACATGCAGGAGGATGACTAGAGCACAATACTGTGTGCTGCACAAGAAGACAGTGAACAGTGAGCAGCAATAGTATCAGCGTACCGGTGCTCCAAAGTGCACACCGGGGGAGCCAGCCACACCATGCAAACCCTCGGACCACCTAGACGATCACACAATACACATTATAGCAACACAGCAACACCCACCGACATAACAATACGGTGAACACACACACGCAGGCACGTACACACACCCACCCACAAACACACACACACACACACAAACAAACGCACAGACAAACACACAACATATTGTCTCTATACCAAGCTAACACAACCAGACGGTGCTCTATCATTCAACATGTACATGTACATACCGGATTGCTAAAGGAAACACCGGGTGATCTAGCAACTCCATGCAATCCCTCAGACCACCTGATCAACAATAACACATAGCCTGGTCTCAAAACGCATCAAATCAGCAGCTTTTTTAAATCAGCAGCTTTCTCAAATCAGCAGCTTTCTTATATCAGCAGATGCCCGCTGGATGGGTGGTTTTCTATCTGCAAGAGTGCGTCAATATGTGCTACCAGTAATAAAACAGAAAAGACCAAGGAATGGAGAAAGAGGAGTTATTTGTGTTCAATAAGCCAGCTGCTGCTCGAGTTCTTATTCCCGCTCAACTCACATTCCCTAATTTCCCCTGTCCTGAGCGCATTGATCAGCACACTTACACATGCCAGTATACACATGCACGAACACACACAAACACATATACGTGCACGTGTGTGCACACTACACACACACACTCATACATACACATAAATGACATAATAATATACAAACACATGGATGCCCTCCCCCTGAGCGCACATTCACTCACGCACACATACTCACACATACACATGCCCACACGGAAAAGACGAGAGACAAACTAACCACTGGTATGCTGGGATTTGAAGACGATCAATGGACTTAGCTCCTGTTCCCAGCTGACTAATCTTCTCAGCTACTTGCATGCGCTCCATCAGGTCTATTGCAGCAGCACAGCATGAGTTGAGATAAAGAGATTACGTTTAATTGCTACTTTGCCACAACGACAGAGACTTGCAGGTAGATTGTCGGTTTCTTACATTTGCTTTGATCCTGTACTCTACAACTTCAAAATCTGTACAACCATACATTAATCGGCTACAGCAGTGACCGCTTTAACGCACTCCCCGAATCAATTCACACTAATCATATCCCAATTCATTTCGCCAGGAGTTACTTTTATAACACATACATTCACCTTGGGCATCCTGTAAGAAGACCTTAGTAGGGCCTGTTGGTAATTCCCCGGTAAAATAACAAAATACAATACAAAAATACAAAATATCACTGACACCAATTGTGCCACCCTCACCTGTCACACGTTCAACAAGATCAAGGGAGTCATTGCTGCAAATTCAAAACAAACAAGCATGACAGAGGTGAGAGAAATCAGAGGGATGATAAATTGATCCGAATGGCCGAAATCTTGTGTAACTCAACTTATAATGACTGATGTATCAATACTCTGGTGCCAAAACAAATACCGTATTGGTCACACACACACACACACACACACACACACACACACACACACACACACACACACACACACACACACACACACACACACACACACACACACACACACACACACACACACGCGCGCGCACGCGCACGCATACACACACACGCACGCACGCACACACACACGCACGCACACACGCACACACTTGTACTTGTACTTGCTCACTGCCAAAACTGGTCACGTGGGTCTCCCCGGGAGAGGGGAGAGAGACTCAAAAGGAATCTTGGAAAGATGACTCAATTGGCCATTGAACCACCCAACGGCCGACACCCCCTGAAATCCCCAAACTAGGGTGGACTTGAAATGATCCCACTTATGGGCTCACCACACCTCAGTAAGTGGGTGAGGACAAGGAGCAGAAAAAGGATTGACGGCATCAGGGTATCCGTCCCGGGATCCAACTGCAGGTACCCCTGCCCCCAGTGAAGGTAATACTTGGTACTAGTGTGGGTGGCTAAATCAGAGTGGATTTGATATAAGCTTCACTAGCACCATTGATTACACAAGAGTTAATCTAGCCAGAAGCAGTCCATGGTTAACAGGTATGTATACTTCAAACAGAAAGTATATGAACCCTGCACACGCACACACACACACACACACACACGCACGCACGCACGCACGCACGCACACACACACACATACACACACACATCATTGAAATTCCCATGTCGCTCATTACCAGTATTTGTAGGTATTGAATGGTGCATTGTCGCATGGTGTCTGAGTGGCATCCAAGCAAAGACCAGGCAAGGTAGAAGGCTGTACATTCCGACCACTTCTAACCCACTATTGCAGCGAGAAGAGAAACAACAACCACAGCAGCCACAGTAACATCCATAAGTGAAACAGTAAGACAAACGTACACATGGCATGCACATACATGCAATCATGCACACACGCACGCACACACACACACACACGTGCACGAACGTGTGCGCACTACAGCCACAAGAATCATGTATGATCATGGGCTGCCCTGACATACAGGACCACCCATGCAAGTGCCACCAAAAGACTGTGCTAACGTTAACAGCTACATGCCAAATACAATGTACTGCCATGCTAGCACAGTGTACTATGTTACAAGTACTGCTATGCTCCACCACACTGCCATGATCTATGCTAGGTAAAGAAACGTAACATCATGATCACATAATTATATGATATATCCGCAAGGCTCGGCACAATTCAACACAATACCTGTTGCTCTTTCTTGCCATTGCATTCTTCCACCTAATGTTCAAGGGTAACAAACAAATGCGCAGTACATAAACATGTGCACAAACATACGCACACACACACACACACACACACACACACACACACACACACACACACACACACACACACACACACACACACACACAACACACACAAACACACTTGTACTTGTACTTGTACTTGCTCACTGCCAAAACTGGTCACGTGGGTCTCCCCGGGAGAGGGGAGAGAGACTCCAAAGGAATCTTGGAAAGATGACTCAATTGGCCATTGAACCACCCAACGGCCGACACCCCCTGAAATCCCCAAACTAGGGTGGACTTGAAATGATCCCACTTATGGGCTCACCACACCTCAGTAAGTGGGTGAGGACAAGGTGCAGAAAAAGGATTGACGGCATCAGGGTATCCGTCCCGGGATCCAACTGCAGTTACCCCTGCCCCCAGTGAAGGTAATACTTGGTACTAGTGTGGGTGGCTAAATCAGACACAAACACACAAACACACACACAAACACACACAGCACCCCACAATAATATATAGCTGCTATTGGGCTCACAGTAAAGGGTCACAAGTATTTCAAAAAAGGGATGGTCTTCCCAGTTTCCAAGCACCTATCACGAGGATTCATAAAGAGTTGATGCAAGGCTTCGACTTCGAAACCCTTTCCCGATGTCACCCATATACCATCCCCATCACTGCATTCTTTACAGTGTACATATCTCTCCGCCAACATTTTCATTCTCACATAATTCTCACATACTTCTGAAGTACATGTGTTACACCCTGGAGATTCCCGTGATAGGCATCTATTTGCCTTTGGAAAAGCAATCAAATAAAATGAAAATGAAATGACATAGCCATGTACAATGTAGCAGTGTTCTGTCTGTAGCATTGATATTGTATAAATGCTGCACAACAAAGGCAAGAGGATGAAGTCGACACCTCCTTACCGTTAGTGAGAGAACACCGTCGGCGCTTGGTGCCTGCAAGCAGTACTTGTTAGATGGATCGGAGATTTGCTGGGAGTCAGCCTTGTGCGTCAACTATAAACACAGTGGACAAAAACACACACGTCCGCTCAAAGCACATCCGAACTCACTTCTTATTGTTGCTGCTTCAACATACTCCCTCATTTATATAAAATGGAATTCATCCCATGGCTGACGATGACGATTGTAGAGAAGATGTCCGACAAGAATCCCAACCAACATTACCTGGTAAGAGGATGGTCCCTCTAGGAGGAACATGCCTCCGTCCTGGCGCAAGTGAACACATTTTTGATTGTGAGTCAAGCATGTGTTGTCCTCCCATCCCTGGCTGGCTGCTGTATCATCACACTGCCACAGCATCACACTGCCATACACGTCATGTATATACAAGGCACGCACACGTATGCACGCACACACATGCACACACATGCACGCACACACACACACACACACACACACACACACGTGCGCACACACCACACACGCACGCACGCACCACACACACACACGCACACGCATACACACGCACGCATCATTTTGATCAACGGATGTGTTGATTTGCATTGCCTGCTACATCCGTAAAGAGGAGTCAAGCTACGCAACCGAAGTTCAGAAATGTATGCAGAAACACTATACTGCAGGTCCTCGACAGGTATTGCCAACTTTACTTCCAAATTTCCCAGCACACACTGGAGTCGCGTAAGACATTAGATCACCCACGTTCTGCCGGGCTTGCTCGCTGAATCTCGACCTCATACCCAGCCCTCGGTGCTGGCCGCTCGATCAAGATTCAGCCAGCGAGCCCTCCACTGCTCCAGGACGACTGTGCAGGATCCTATATAATCATGACTCTGGAGTTGAAATAACAGCAGCTGCTGTAAACCCGGAATCGTTTGCGCCCATTTTAGTTTGCGAATTGCGATGACAGACCATTTTGCGCCTGCAAACATTTGCGATTGGAGTCAATTTGATGATTGACTCGAGTCTACAGGTTCACGCTTTGCGCCCACTTACTTTCGCGATTTCACCCCATCGTGAAAATCGCAAACGTTACAGGGTCGCAAAGGTTTCTGGGTTTACAGTTGTTGTGCCCATGATAACAGCTAGCCTAGCAGCTAAGTGAGTGCCAATAACCCTGACACCTTTCCATTTCCACATTAATGTCATTCACAAATACAGGTAATGCTTTAGTATGTTCAACTGGCAGTACATGTGCAGCGGACTCCACAATTATTAATTTCAGGTGCTTGAGCAAATCTGCCGAATTACTTGACGACTCACTTGTGAATGCCAGCCAAGGCCACGTGAGCGACACTCAACAACAAGATGACTGAAACCTTCATCATCGTGTTGCAATCCGTACTTCCCAGTCAGAGGACGAAATTATTCCCAAACTATGACGACCAGTAAATAAAAGTTTCTGAGCCTCGTATCTTTACTGCGTCAAGTAATATTATTGCTTTTCCAATCATAGGTGGGAAGACTGTCATGTCGTGCTGGTTGGATCGGGCACGCCTCTACTATACCTCTGCCTCTGGCAGTCTGGTGGGTAGTCTGGGTTGTCCTAGCGATGATCATCGGACTGTGTACGTGTTGCTGACATAGCCAGAAAATCATTCGCAACACTGCAAGCAACAGGCAAGCAAGTCACGAGGCCTGAGCTGGCTGCAAATCTACTAGTACTGGCTATCAACCATCATGTCACTTGTCAGTTCAGTCGATCGAACTAACAGAGCTGTCGAGCGGATCATGATAATATAATGACTTGTGATGGTCGACAGCTCGAAGGTGGCAGAGTTGACTGTCTGTCGAGTGTCGACAAGGTCATAATTATCTAGCTACATAATCATTCTGCGGCTGCAGATCTGCAATATTACAGAGTGTACTGATGTAGCCAAAGAAAGCAAAAATAGTTACTAAATTTCTGTGTCTACAATAACATACTACTTTGTACTAAATTGTAGCATCAATCCGAGAACATACTTTGTAGCAAACTATTAAAAAAGTATCACCTCACTACAAACTTTACATTGTAGTTTGTTATTGTAGACACAGACATTTAGCAGAAAGGGCCCTTAAGTCGCGGACACCATGCTGCCGGTATTACGGCACATACCACGTACCAGTGCAGTGTGGCATACACAATGATCATGCGAATTTCCTGGTTTGCAGAACCACATAAACATTGTGATGCACATCTCGAACACATTACAGTAAAACTCTCCTATTCTAGACTACCCAGATCCGGGTCACCTTTCCATCGCTTCAAAGAGTCACAAAAACTGCTCTTGAACGAAATACGACACGGGCAAGTCCTAGTTACAAGCAGTGCCCGATCCAAACGCATCCAGATAAGGGGAGATCAACAGTGTATAGAATGCAATCTTCAAACATGAGTCTCTCATGAGGGGATCAAAGTCATCAGGAGTAAGCAAGACCATCTCAATTGAGACAGAAGTATGCCACTTATCACACGTCAAACACACGAATGCACGCATGCAACATCTTTGACCACGAAAACGATCAGAGTTGATTCTGGTCCAAGCTAAAAAATAATGCAGAATTTACCGGCCTGCAGTATATACTAAAAAGTAAGCCAGCGTGACTGTTCGTTTATGCATCAACAGCGTGGTAGCTGCGTCAAGATGACTACCACACCCAATAGAGAAAGGGCAGCAAACATACTTCGGAAAAGGTCAACATGAAAAGTGATACCCAAATTGCAAACAAAAATCAAAGGAATGAGAGAACTCTCAACTCACCGTTCAAAAGCGTAAGAAGTGCAGCAGTTCAGCGATCATGTACAAGCACTTGAAGCACATGCACATCTGTACAAGTGTTCATGGCAACGTGGCAGTTCCAGGTTGCATTATACATTAGAAACTGCAGTGGAGGAGACAACTCAGCGCGATAGAAACACAGCATGGAAACGAGAGAGCGAAGAGAGGAAGCACTATGCACAAGTACACCGTCAACGCTATTCGCGGAGTACGCAAACGTTTCATCATTTCACATGGCCACCGAACGGCTTCATCGGCAATCTGCTGTTCCACTTTAGCTCAGCCTGGGCTTGGCAGTGTGACAGAATGGCATTGAAGACTAAGTACCATGCTGGCAGATCCTCAACAAGTCTAGACCGGGAGACAATGAACAAACAAAAAAGCACCGGACATGAAGAAGTAAGACTGTGTGAACAAAGTGTTCATCAAAGGGTACTGATGATGCTCATGACCATACACCATCAAGTGGCATCGACACTAGAGGGCTAGGAGGCTAGAGTCAGAAACACCGGAACTATGAGCACAAAGCTTCAAAGGGTACAAAAACGCAAAAAATGAACAGATTCCCGTTTCTTCCGCTAAACAGGACTGGTAAACCAAGCACAATACCAATGTGCTGATGAACCAGTTTTCAGAAAAGATCATTTATAGTAAAACGTGCAGTTTTTTCCCTTTTCAATTCCCTCAACTAATAAATATGGGCAGAGAACATTGTCATTTGATCATGTACTACTACTATAGTGGCTATACACACGGCGTTACACAGTATGTCCTACCTTTGGAGAGCTTGCAGGAGAAGCCAGGCCTGCTGCAGATTGTACTTTACCATCAGCTTTGCTAGGTACCTTGCAAGTACCAGACCATCTGCAGCTTCGGGCTCTTCAATAGCACGCACACGTAGAGGCATGCACGCAAACACACACACACACACACACACACACACACACACACACACACACACACACACACACACACACACACACACACACATGCACACACACAGACACACACAGACACACATGTACACATAAACAAACACAATACAAAAAAGGTAAAGAAACTAAACATATCAAGAAGGAAAGCCACATATCCAAACATATGCACAGCCATAGTTTTTGAAGAGAGAGAGAGAGAGAGAGAGAGAGAGAGAGAGAGAGAGAGAGAGAGAGAGAGAGAGAGAGAGAGAGAGAGAGAGAGAGAGAGAGAGAGAGAGAGATGCGATGAAGAATCAAATAAATGAGCTCACCATTAGTGGAGTGCACCCATTCCTTGAGGATTCGTTTCACTTTTGGCAGTTCACATTCACCCTTCAGCTCTGCAACCTACAATGCATGTAGTATACCACACATGGCAATGGTTATAACAAACTTATAATTCATATCATGAACCTGATAACACAACAGCTCACTACAGTATAGTCTTGCACATCATCTCAACAGTCTACTGCGGCGCCATGGTAGTCAGTAACATAATGCCTACATCAGTAAGCAATGGGAATCAAGGAATGGACTGCCTAGCTTGTGCCAACTTGAGTGAAAATTTCAATCTACGATGTAGAGTGGTGGTGCAGAGAACTCAGACAAACGCGAACACGAACAACCCCCCCCCCCCCACACACACACGCATAAAAACAAAACACACACGCACACACACACACACACACACACACACACACACACACACACACACACACACACACGCACACTTACCAGTGTATACGTCTTTGAGGTGCTGCAGGATTCCGTCGATACTGCATGAAGCAAAAGCAATAGGGCAAAGCAGCACCAGTGGGTTACATCAACGAATTCCTACAGCTGCAAGCGTCGTTTTATTTTATATTGTGGGAAGATACAAGCACCTATCGGATAAGCGTACTTGTATATCTCTCCTGTTCGGTAGCACACCTAAGCTGTACAGCTGCGCAATGACTCAGCACACCATTAGACTTATTCTACTACTCGACCAGAATCTAGTGGTTGGGAGTTATGCCAGACTACGCATCCTACTTGCGAGTACCTTGGGTACCTGGCTACTAGCCATCTCAGTCCCAGTACCTTGGGTACCTGGCTACTAGCCATCTCAGTCCCAGTACCTTGGGTACCTGGCTACTAGCCATCTCAGTCCCAGTACCTTGGGTACCTGGCTACTAGCCATCTCAGTCCCAGTACCTTGGGTACCTGGCTACTAGCCATCTCAGTCCCAGTACCTTGGGTACCTGGCTACTAGCCATCTCAGTCCCAGTACCTTGGGTACCTGGCTACTAGCCATCTCAGTCCCAGTACCTTGGGTACCTGGCTACTAGCCATCTCAGTCCCAGTACCTTGGGTACCTGGCTACTAGCCATCTCAGTCCCAGTACCTTGGGTACCTGGCTACTAGCCATCTCAGTCCCAGTACCTTGGGTACCTGGCTACTAGCCATCTCAGTCCCAGTACCTTGGGTACCTGGCTACTAGCCATCTCAGTCCCAGTACCTTGGGTACCTGGCTACTAGCCATCTCAGTCCCAGTACCTTGGGTACCTGGCTACTAGCCATCTCAGTCCCAGTACTCAAGTACATTGTACAGTAAACACCTGTGATGGCGACCACTCGACCATGGCGACCACTCGACCATGGCGACCACTCGACCATGGCGACCACTTTTCCTTGTCACTGACGCATTCACATTCAAAACACCTCGGATAAGGCGACCACTCGCTTAACGCAACCGACGACCACCCACCCGCGACCGCGTTGCACAGTGCTAGTCCACTGATCAAAATGATGTATCACATGTGGATATGGTCACGTGATCCACTGAACCTGGATAAGAAGACCACCTGGCCACTGCGACCACTTTTTCTCGTCCCTTGAGGGGGGGGGGTCGCCTTAGACAGGTTGTTTCACTGTATATGTAATACGTGTCCTTGTAGGTACAGTCGTCCCTCTCTAATCCGGCACTTGTTTATCCGGAACCCTTGCCAACCGGCGCACTTTCTGATGAAACCGATTTTTTTCGTTCAATTCCTACATCTTAATCCGGCACTTGAATTCCGCCTCCGGCAGTGACTTTTTGAAACGAATCGCTCAAACTGCACGTAGTTTGATTTCATAATCCGGCAGTCCTAGGGTTCCCAGTAAAAAGGCAACGCCTGTTGGGAGTTCCCTAGTAAAATAATAAATTCTACTACTACTACTACTAGTCGTAAATCGACTGTGCGTGTGTGTGCAAGAGTACGTATACATGTGAACATGTTCTCTGTTTTACTTTATCACTGTGTATATTCCTGGAGAAAAGTTGAGAATATAAAGCCGTGCACCAAATACTGGGGTCGACACGGAAAAACCCTGCGTTTTGACGTATGATACATGCATGAAATTGGGTAGGGTCGGGTCAGAGGGCAGGATTTCTTAATCCAGCACCCTCGTTAATCCAGCAGAAAATGCCGTAGCAAAAGGTGCTGGATTAGAGAGGGACGACTGTACTAATATTGTGACTGAAATACATTGCTGCTCAATGAAATCCGATCGCGTGAATCCAGTTTGTGCCCTGCACGAGTTCAGCATCCCAGTGTTCGCAGGTCTAGGGCTGCACAGCGCCCGGCGTGGCATTGACTCGCTGGATCGGATTTCACTGAGCAGCACTGTACATTGTGTATTACACAAGTACTGACCCGGTTCTGCAAATAGGTGCATCTGCCTTTCCGCCGTCGACTCAATATGATACTTGCTTCTTGTTGAAGGAGCAGTGGGGATAGTGGTCTGTTTAGGATCCACAGCAGGCTGTTGTGGAATAGATTTTGGCTTCTGTTGCACTCTTGACTTGGGTAGTTGTGGCTGTTGTTGGTGATGATGCTGGTCTCGTGTGCTGGCTTGCTGTCTGCGGTAGTTTCTTTGATCATACATGACTTCGGCACGTAGTGCAGGGGGCAGTGCAGCTAAGACATTTCGATCTAACTGAAAGAGAGGCAAGCCCAGAAAAGTAGCCACAAACACTGATAAGTTCTAGAGATGGGTACGCCAACCAAAACCTTAGTAAAAAGCAAGAGCCAGCCATATGGGGAGTGCTTCCCACTGTCAAGGAATTTCCACAAAATAACATACAGTGCTCATAGCCATCTGACCAGATCCTCAGAGCTGACAGCCAGCCATATTCAGATGAGGAGATTTCTACCTAGCTTGCTCTCTCAGTCAGGAAGTGAAGGTAGTGAAAAGGACAAAACAATGAAACTCATCAACCAAACTACTCTGACACCTGAAAGTAACTCAGGGATGAATTTACTGTCATTTTTTGCATAGCAGTTTTCGCGACGCAAACGCCAAAATGCGTAGCAGTCCTTGATTTTTGATTAGCACTTTTTCTTCCACGAAGACCGACTAAAATTTCTCAGTCCACGGAGGGAGGACTCGTGCTGTCTGCATAGCTGGCAGAAAATTAGCGTCACCGCTGCACCTGTAGCTTTCTCAGAACGAAGCCATTTCTTCTCGACATCGACCTCTGCCACCCACTTCTCAAAGGTACTCTCTCGTACAGACATGTTGGAGGCAGAACCAGACTAGACAAAAATTTCAGCTTGGACAATTGTCATAGAGAAGGACGAACGCGATTCCAAAATTTCCTCACGACCAGAGTAGTATGCAGTGCCGTTTATGCATCGCAGTTTCCTGCGAGTCGCTGTGATTTTTGAGTCGCACTCCATCGATTTTGAATCGCAAACTGCGATGCGATACCGGATAAATTCATCCCTGTAACTGCTCTCCAAACATTTGTACATGCACATGCACAGGCACTACATCACAATACAACCACACCAAAACAATACAACCACACCAAAACAAATATCTGATGCTAGTCTTAACAGCTGTAGTCAGTACAAGAAAGTTCATGATGTTCAAGAATCCTATAGGCTATTTCATTACAATGTAGAAGGATGTGCTCCTATTAACTAAAACTGGGTTGGGTAGCTCAGTTCATGAACCCCATGCCTCAATTCTCAGCAACTCCCTTCTTGGGAGCCGCCTCATGACAAGAAAGCAGAAACACCTCACTCCTCGGACAATAGCATTACAACAACTGCACTACTAATGCATTAGCCAAACAAGATGGCAACATCCACAAACAGCTTCGAGCACCACAGACGATATCTAGTCTGTGGTGCTACATCTGTTTCTTTGTCCATGCAGCATGCATCCTACCTGAGATGTCGTGGGGAAGAGGTCACTGTGGGAAAGTTTTTCAGCCTGCACACTTGCTGCAGTGGCATTAGAAGCACTACCCCTGAAACAAGAGAAAGGATTCAAAGCATACCGGTCATTGTCTTAGCTCCTGAAAGAGTCAAATACGTATGACATCACACACCAGCATACATTGGTTGCCATAGTGACAGAGCAACTACATGTACAAACAAACAACCCCGTCTATTGAAGCCTGGCGAAAAGACGTCCAGGAAAACACCATTGGATACAAACATGGAGACAACTGGTGCATACGTACAGACATATTTTCTTCAGCCACCAGTGCACATCATTGACATTGGAGTAGCCAGATATGCTACACGTAGGGTCTACTAATGCTGGATAGAATGTGCACTGTAAGTACAGGTAGAGACCAGCTCAAGGGTAAATCCACTGTGTGCTCTGATGAGTGTTTTAAACTGGAAATTCAGTCTAATTTCAGAGTTATGGAAAGACTTTCGGTTTCTGCTGTTTCGCCTATGTACTGTGTGACAAGTAATTTACCAGTAGCCATTCACATACCGTTGTTGCTTGTATGCGAGTTCAATATCCCGACGAATGCTATCAGGTAGAGCAGCCAGGACTGACTCATCCAGCTGTGCAGTGTGTATCCATGTTAAAGCCATAAGCAACAACAGCAGCACACATACACGCACGCACACACATACATACATACCATTGGACCATTGGACGCCCATCGCCGGAGGCGATAATAGCGATGCTACAGCAGAAGCCATAGCAGCTTGTGCTGGGATTGCACCATTCAACAGCTTGCAAGGCTGAAGAATTGGCCGCCACTATTCAGCCTGGTCTACACCACACAGCTATGAAGTGGCCTTTTCTGGCCAGTGAATCCCTACTTTTTGGTCTTTTTTATTTTTTTTCCCGCACACACATCACACCACATACTCCGGCATACATACATACACACACACGCACACACACACACACACACACACACACACACACACCACACACCACACACACACACACACACACACACACACACACACACACACACACAGAACATACAGTGGCCTTTGTCTAATGGTGTTGGTCTACAGCCGTGCATGCATCATTATCAGGAAATTAGCCGTCGACCTCCCCCCCCCCCCCCCCCACAGAATAAAACACTTCAACACAGTACTGCTTAGTCCTTGAGAGAGACCACACTGATGAGCCTGGTACATCTGCAAGTAGTACTTCAGTAAAAGTAACTCAGTACAAGTACCACTCTGACATACTTACATCTTCGTGTGCAGGCAATGCAAGGTCGGATTGGCCAGTGGCCGTTGAGCCACTAGCTGCGGACAGCGCAAGATCAGAATCATCTTTGATCTCCACCACGGATGTTGATGATGCCGATGAATTCCTAGGCACAACTGCGGAGATCTTGTCTGCAAACGAAGCAGCGCTCGACTTCGAGTGTGCAGCACGTGGCAGGCAGCCAGATCTATATGCTGACTGTGTCGGGAGGAATGGCAGTGGCGGTTGAGTTGGAGTGACTACAAAAGGCATGGCTGCCTCCGGAACATGTCTACCAGCAGATGAAATAGGTGTGTGGCCAACTCTTTCCTCAGTGGAATCTGCAAATTCTCCTGTCAACGTACTAGTGGCAGCAGCAGTGGGGGTGACAGCAGTAGCAGTGGCAGCAGCAGCAGCATGTGCAGGAACAGAGGATGGTGTTTGCCGGAGTGACTTTGACCTTATGCTCTCAGGAGATACACGCGTAGTGGCTGCCGCCACATGTGACGCCATAGGTAATCGAACACTACTGGCGCTGGCAGCAGTTTGCAAGGTTTTCGACGTCGTTGAAGAGAAGAAAGCACGGATAGGAGCGGTGGCAGACTTGGCGACTTTCTCAGTTGAAACAAGCTTCTGCATCTGTATTCCCATCTGAGAAACAAGGAGAAAGCAAGACATACAGAATGGTGGCACAATGAGTGATTCAAAGCACATCACCATCTAACGACCGAAGCTCCATTATAATACAATACGGCAAAACTGATCATGAGTTCTCCTCACAACATCCTGCGATAGCGAGAAACTCTACAAGCACCAACCATAGCTAAGCTTAACACAGCATGACAAGTCGTTGCACTATCAAAAAAAGGTTATACATGTACTTCAGGGTTCTAGCCAAAGGGGGGGGGGGGGGTAGGGGGGGGGGGGCGCAGCGCCCCCCCCTACTCCGTTTGCGCGCCCCCTGTGAAAAAGTGCTGCCCCCCTACTCATTTTTCGATTTTGGTGTTTTTTCACGCCATTCAACGAAAATACAGTCGATAGTCACTAGAGGGTTCATAAAGGCACATTTGTGAGGGGTGAAGTCAGGGTTCACCCTGTATGTTGCATTTTGCATGGCAAGACAATTTTGGACAATGGAAAAAATGGGTCATGGGGTAACTTTTTCCCATGTTCGCCCCCCCTACTATATTGACCTGGCTAGAACCCTGTACTTGAAAGAGGGGAAGTTTCTAAAGAATTCTTCGGTACAGGGCTTATGCGGCATTGATTCAAAGTTCACGAGGTGAATACTGTACACACGGTACTTGCCACAGCTGTTCTGAAAGTTTAAAAAAACAAACAGCTGAACTGAGCCGCACAACAAGCATTAGAGCATACCACTTGTTGCAGTGATTACAGATATGTAGACACTGTCACACTGTGTTGATGACTAACCCCTCTGATGTCACAGTAGTCAACCTTCAGCTGCTCAATCAGCGTCCACACAAAGCGACGAATGGCAGCGGAGTCCGACACAGCCGATGGCAATGACATAGACTTGGTCAAATTATCACAGAGGCCATGTCCCATGTGCTTCCTACTCTCCTTGGGAGCGGTGGGCTTCCGAACCTTCATCTGCAGTAGTCAACACATTGCCAGCCATGGACAACAAAGCTAGCAGAAAGCTAACATCATGTACACCTCCACGTAGCACAACTCACTGCCCTATACCAAGTCTAAAATTTACAACATAAGTATGGCATACTGCTACTACATAATAATGAAACAGGAAAGTAGGAACAGGCTACAAGTGGTAGTTACAGCTACCTACCTTCAGGCACAAGTGCTGGCCTTTCATTTGGCATGAGGCCATGCGCTGCTCCAATTCATTCGAAAGCTCCATCACAAACTTCTCCACATCACTTTTCTGCATTCACAAACATCACACAACAAAGCATGTAGCACACGGAACGAAGGCACAACTTCAACTCTAAACAAATGTTCAGGAAAGGGAGCAAACCCCGAGCCAATAGAAACATTCACATAAACAACGGCAAACACACTAGAAGAAAACAATAAACAGCATACTGTAAAACGGGTAACTATTGCGACGCAAACATGTTTGCGAATTTTGCGAGAGGCCCCGAATCGCAAACTTTGAACAACGCAAACTCGAGCCATGTAAAGTTCAGTGCAAGGACTGACTCGACTGTGTAGAACGACTCGCAAACATTAAACAGCGCAAACCAGTCTCAATTTGTAAAACGCAAACATTTATTGTCGCAAACGTTACCCGTTTTACAGTAGCTGGACAGCCATCACAATGATTATTATATGAACACTTATTGAACAGTCAAACTGATTACAGTGAAGCATTTTAGAATGTTGGAAGCTAGCAATCCTTTCTCAGGAACCCTGGCCGGTAATTCAAAAAAAACAAAATTGAAATGTAATGTCAAGCTACCGTGTAGGCTTGCCACACTACCTGAGGAATGCAACGGTGTGTTGGAAGGCTTCGTGCATACTGTCACACGTGCGATTAGTAGTAATTTTTTACCTGTTTAAATCTCATGCCATAGTTGATTTCAGCTGAGATTGATTTTCGCTCTCGTGTCACCCGCAACTCCCTGTCATCCTTGCCACGAGCATGATCCCACAGCAGCAGTCCCGTCTTGGGACCAAATTGTTCCTTCAGGACCGACAACGACAGCTTGCGGAGATCAAGGCATGTCTCAACGCCCATTGAAGCAAGCTGACGGGTTGTAGCATGGCCAACACCTACGCATACATATACCAGACACAGAGTATCAAACGCAGGGCATCAAACACAGAGTACTAAACGCAGGGCATCAAACACAGGCTAGCAGACACAGGGTACATGTGCCAGACACAGGGCATCAAACACTGGGCATCAAACGCCGGGTATCAAACCCAGGGCATCACACGTGACAGGGCATCAAACACAGGTTACCAAACACAGGATACCAAACACAGGGTACCAAACACTGGGTATCAAAACACAGGGCATCAGACACAGAGTATCAAATGTCAGCAATGCTCCCATACACCAAAAGCTCAATGAGGCATAGGGCTGCTGCGTTCATGGCCCAATCAGCCACTTAGAAATTAGGTACTCAAGTACACCATAATAAGTCCAAGTAGTAGCACCCCCCCCCCCCCCCCCCCCCCACACACACACCCCACCACACACACACACACACACACACACACACACACATGTACCCCCCCCCCCCCACACACACACATGTATATTTTATCACATAAAGAGTCTGAATGACCAAGTTCAATTGAAGAACGTTACGGCGGCATACCACTCACCAGGGAGCTTGCCCACGTCCTGTTTGCCGATGAACTCCAGCACTTCAGGCTCAGTTACCAAGTACTGGCCGTTGGGCTTGCCAAGGCGAGTAGCCATGCGGGCCAGTAGCACATTGCTTGCTGAACAATCATAGCATTGCACAGAAATCAAACAAACAAACGTATCGGTAATCAACATACCAAATGTTGCTTCAATGCCTGTTCCGTCTTTGCCAGGACTATTTAGAAAACAGAGTACACTGGTAACATAGGACAACAGCATCTTGCAGACTAGTATGTGTTGCCTAATGCAAATGGGTAGTTTGGAGACGGTCAACATAGTTTCGCAATCTATACCTTCGCGTACAAAGACGCAAATCCACACAATCAAGTAGACACTTCCTTTTATCTATCAAACGTTTTCTTTCCCTTCTCTTCAGGATAGCACAGGGAATGTTGGAAATTTGGAAAACACATAACTATATAGAGTTTGTAAAAAAGTTTGTACCGGTATGTGTTTTTCCAAATTTCCAACATTCCCTGTGCTATCCTGAAGAGAAGGGAAAGAAAAGGTTTGATAGATGAAAGGAAGTGTCTACTTGATTGTGTGGATTTGCGTCTTTGCATGCGAAGGTATAGATTGCGAAACTAATGCGAATGGAGAAGTATTAGTTTTAGTATGGAACTGTGCTATTCAACCCAGAAAGCCAGAACCTCAACATGTTACGCCGTGCCAAAAAGAGCTGAAAGACTACTAGTACATTGTATATCACCAAGATCATAACTTCAAGGAAGCCCATCTTCCAGGGAGTCTGACATTAGGCAGAAAGAGAGAGAGAGAGAGAGAGAGAGAGAGAGAGAGAGAGAGAGAGAGAGAGAGAGAGAGAGAGAGAGAGAGAGAGAGAGAGAGAGAGTAAGTTACATTAATAAAGACAGGCAAGTCTAACAAATGAGGACTGAGACCTCTACAACAGGGTTTTTACGCCTGAAAGCAGGTGCATGATTTAACAAGCAGGTTGTCAGTCTAGATTTTATGCGCAGATGGAGAAAGAGAGAAAGAGAGAGAGAGAGAGAGAGAGAGAGAGAGAGAGAGATAGAGAGAGACGGGGGGGGGGGGGGGGGGGGGAGGGGAGAGAAAGTACGCAAAGAGGGAAAGACTCAGTCTCTCATCCTGAGCGCAATAAAACGAGTGGATAACGTTATCGGCAGATCTGCGGAAACTAAAAACTAATCTGTACCTATGCCAGCTGACGCCATGACACCAGTAGCATCCAGGATAGCTTTCCTGATGTCCTCCGCTAGGAGTTTGGCTTCTTCATCGGTATGCACCAGACTGGACACGTCGATAAAGGCTTCGTCACAACTAACAGCTTCTATAGTGCGACTGAAGCTGACAAGAAAATAAAGAGAGGGAGAGGGAGAGAAAGCAGGCAAAGAAAGCTAAATGAACCAGTCAGTATGCAATCAGCCTATCCAGCCTATGCAGTCCATCCAGCCTATCCAGCCTAAGTGATCATGACTCCAATGGCGACAAGCACATGGACCTTTGTGGAGTAGGCCACACTGTAAGAAGTTATTCACTGGTCTACCATCAAGGGTTTCTAAATGGTACAGATGAAGTGCTCAAAGTACAGCCGTACTATACTGTATCGTCCCAGGTCAGAGCAACTGCATTTTTCTACATGAAAGCAGAGTCAGAATCACCCCTGCGGATTATATACCCCGGCGACCAGTCATGTTCATACAAAACTGGAACGTGTCGTTCAGCCTCCAGGCGAGGGGGGGGGGGGGGGGGAGTGCAGCATACTGTAAGACATGTAATTATAACGAGGAAGTAAATCTAACATTTTAACGGCTGCGATTTTTTCGTTATAATAAGTTCTGTTGAGGGTCTAATGCCTCATATGTGTTATGTGCAGATACGCCTGAAGACCGCAAGATTGTTAACGTATCTTCTCGTTAACCTATGAATTTTGGACAATCGTTAAATTTGCGACTCGTTATAATAACATGTCTTACAGTAGTACCCAATGCTGCTCTGACTCTGCAAACATATGAATCACTACTGTCATGGAAAATTCTAGAATTCCAGCCATGATGTATATGTATGGTTGAGCAGAGTACCATACCACTGTGTAGCCTAGTAGTCTATACATAGCAGTGTGACTGGGACTAACCTGGTGAGGACCTGATAAAGGGACTGTGATGCTACACGATACGCTGCAAAGTCGTACGGCACAGTGACCAGGTCAGGACACAGCTCCACGGCACGCGTCAGCCACATGCCGTTCTTTACACCGCGGGCACGTGCTTCATAGCTGCAGGACGCAATGTCTGCGCTCGATCCGGGGCCGGGCATTGAAAATGCCCCTCCGTCACGTGCTGCAGCTGGCGCTGATACTCTTCTTGATGCTGATGTAGAAGAAGGCACATGCGCAGCAGTACTGGTTGATGTAGAAGCAATTGGCTGACGATCACAGAGATCCGCAGTCGTTGAGTTGCTGGCAAGTGATGATTCTCCAATGGTGGCGATCACAGCAGGGTGTTCAAGTTCACCAGCAGAACCACCTGCAGATGATTGTTGACTGTCTACTGCGTTACTTGCCGAACCCTTGGGAATGGACCCGTGAGTAACGGCAACCGGCTTTCCAACATGCTGTGGAAAGTTGCGTAAGGAAATCGCCACGAAAAAGCAGTCCATGTCGACATGCATTACGGTTCTCTGGCGAGAACGACTTCCCGTGGCTGGATGCTGCTTTCTCCACTCTAGTCCTCGTGACGCTGGTTTGTTTGATAGCATGGAGGTGAACTTGCGCAGCTCTGCACCCCATGTTGACAAGTGATGCAGACGAGAATGTCCGTAAAACTCAGCAACAAAGCCCCTTTCTCCCGCTTTTAGAGCCGGGTGAGTCGAAGTCTTTGCAAGCTGCTCGTGCCCCATACCGTCGGAGAGTTTTGGGCACGTCTGCTGAGATTTGTCTTGCGAGGCAGCCTCCCCAGACGAATGATCGGGCTGATTAGAAAGCAGATACCCATCAGAATTTCCAATGTCTTGTGCCTCACCATCACTAGCATCTTCATCCCAACCATCATCCATGGGAAGATCATCAGCAGCACCATCTCCTCCACCACTAGCACCAGTCTCCTCCAAACTGTCCAAATCAATATCCTCTTCAGTAAGAGCAGAGCTGCTTGCAAGATCGTTTAGTTTCTCACTTGTGATTGTCTCACAAGCACCGACACTGTCACTATCAGTCACAGTGGATGCCCGTATCTTGCTCCCAGTTGACAGCTGTTGCCTTGGACTCACAGCCTGAGGAAAGCTGATTGTCCTCTGTGTTATCGGCTGATCGTACAGCAAGTAGGGCTTCACGTCCAGGCGCTTTCCAGCGTCAATGCTGCACATAACGTTACACAGACGCATGTGCATGCATTTACACAAACACCCACACCCACCCACACCCGCGCGCACGCACACACAGACACACACTCACGCACACACACACGCGCGCACACACAGACACACACACACACAGCCAGGCAAAAAACGCATCAGCACCATATACACACACTTCAGACATGCCACATGATCATTGCCAGGGACTGAGGCAAGCAGAGCACTCACAGGTAGGGCCTAACTCCCTGATCATGCCCTGCCTGACCGCTGCTCGCTTGCCCTACTACAATGCACCGTACCGTATACCCATCACGTGACCATTCATGGCGCCCTCCTGCGCTACAATTCTGGCCATTCAGGCCCTGAATGCTAGGGCGTGAATGGTACTGTATGAGGGCAGTATGAATGGTACTGTATGAGCGTGGTATGAATGATCACGTGATAGGTATACGCATGTACACCCCTGCGATTCGTATCTAATCTCCATGTTCTGGCTCAGGAGGAAGTGCAAAAGACGAGAAAAAAAAGGATGAGTAAACACGCAAGGAAAGAGAAGAACGTACTCGTGTACTGGGTCTGCAAGAATTTCGGGCATCATGGTCCATACCAGACAGTGCTCAACCCTATTTTAGTATTCCCCTGATCCAAATGGGCCAGAACAGAACAACCATGGCGGCAGCAAGAACATTTCTGCAGGGAGTATCAATGATGCGAAGGACAATTTTCTCCTATAATTTCACATAAGCATATCCATGGCTATCACCACCTCCACAATTGGCCATGGCAGAGCCTGTAGCAAAGAGACGATTGCCCTCTGTAGGGTACAAAGGTGTAGACAAGGTGAAAGAAGAAAGGGTGCCACAGGCAACCACAGACACAACAAAGCAGTGGCTTGGAGTGTTCGAAGACTATTCGAGAGAAAATAGCATGGATTGTCATTTAGAAACCGTCTCAAAGGAGGAGCTACATGTAGATGCGATCCCATCAAACTTCTGTGTTAGTCTTCGGAAAAAGAAGGAGGAAGGTGGAACGTACCAACGGTCTAGTTTTGTACGCTTCCGAGCAGCAATGAATCAGACTCTTATAGAGTGTCGTGGCTTCAACCTCATTACTGATCCGGTATTCAAGAGGTGCAACAATGCATTTGATGGAATGCTAAAGAAGTTGAGACAGACTGGGGCAATGAAGGCCACAGATCACAAGGACTCCACAAGTCAAGGTAATATGGAGAAGATCAAAGTGCTATTTTCAGAATGCCAATGATTCCAAAGGTTTCGTTTCTTACCACTTTTCACGGTGGTAGATGTTCCAAGCTTACAGCACCCACTGGTAGATACCCCTACCTGGCCTCCGTCAGGTCCTGCACGCTTGTTGCGCAGGGTGACATCGACACTAACCTCAGAAGCCTAGATGATGAAAGCCTATCTGCCTTAGAGAAGCCACAACAAGAGCTAGCTCCATCTGCTGGTCAATCACTGCCAGGTAATTTCACAGCTGCGAATTTTGCTGGTGCAACCGACATCACATTCAACTTCCCCCTCCACTATTATAGCTTTTTTGCTTTGCACCAGCACAGATGTAATGTACTTCGCAATCGTAAATTCTCTTTATAGAAGCCTGATATAGCAAGGCTTATCTCTTTCGATCGCTCTTTCCTTCTCTATCTTGCTGTCTTGTTTCACTTACTTCAGTACTTGCAAAGCTATAATATAGACACAGTATGGTACTGGGAAGAGGAAGAGTGAGGTGGGTGGTTCAGAGCGGTACATACCACAGTGAGGTGGGTGGTTCAGAGCGGTACATACCACACGTACAGTGTACAGTGTATGTATGTCGTACATTATGTCTTACATGGCCACGGCTGGCAATCTTAACACATGATCAGACATGGACTTCAGGGCAGTGCCGTTGATTCAGGTGATCGATCGTGTGATCTCGGGTTTGAATCAATGATACTGCCCTGGCGTCCATGTCTATATTTGTAAGGGATCGACCGCAAATATCGAAGAACTAAAACATCCGTCCCCGTGCAAGATTTTCCGTGCCTCCCCCCCCCCCCCCCATTTTTCCTATTACTTTTGATTTTGGGATTTTCGGTCTTTGACCACTTTGTGGTGGGTCTGATCTACTCACCTCCCATCGCTTTAGGAGCTGCATCTGCGCCGTGATCCCAGAGGGTGGTGGCGTTCCTGCGGATGCGAAAGATTCGGCCACCAGCTGAGTCTAACGCGACCGTGAATTTTTTTAATTTTTCCAGTCAGCCTGTACCTAGTAGATATTCTGAAACACACATGTAACTATAGTGTGTTTCAAAAGTATAGACCTCTAGACTTTTTCGAAAAATTCAAATTTGGTTTGAACTTTTTGAGAAATTTCTTCAGGATACTGCTCAGGCTGCTCCCGCAATTTTTCTCATATAAATTTCTAAGCGATTGGATAACAGACGCTCAATTTCGGAAATGTTATCCACAAAGTGATCACAGATTTTATGTGGTATAGATGCTGGCCTAACGTTTTTTTGAAACCAGAGGTCTGGACTTTTGAAACGCACTAAAGCGCGACCACACACTGCATCCTTGTCAAGTACCAATCATATTCACAGTACAGTCCTGCTCACTGGAATCCAGTCTCGTCACTCAAATTTGTGCCTTGCAATACTTCGCAGCCCAGTGTTCGCAGGTCTAGGACTGCACAACGCCCGGCGCGTACTTGAGTGACGTGACTGGATTTCATTGAGCAGCACTGTACATGACTGCCTGCAGCTGACTACACCATTGACAAGTGACATGATCACAGCGCAAGTACCGCAGCGTTCGGAACATTCAACAATCTACACTACTTTTGTACATGCACATAGTGCAACAAGTGTAGGAAAATCCAAAAATTAAATTCCGCCAGCGCTCTTCACCACCCAACCCCTTTTTTCAATGTGGACAGATTTTTTATTTTTTTAATAATAATTTACGGTTGAGCCCCAAAGTTTGTTAAATTGTAAAACATCTCCAGGGAAAACTGACAGGCATGTACCACTAATTTTTTGTATTTTGTATTGTATTTTATTATTTTACTTGGGCATTCCCACTAATGACCTTCACATTAACCAGAATCCTGCAGACCCTGAGCCAGGAATGACAAAAAGCAAGTCGCAACTCACCTTTCCGTGATCCAATCTGGCAGGACAATCAATTCACCTCTGAAACAAATACATGTATGTGTAAATACACACGCGCGCACACACACAAACACACACACACACACACACACTTGTACTTGTTGCTCACTGCCAAAACTGGTCACGTGGGTCTCCCCGGGAGAGGGGAGAGAGACTCAAAAGGAATCTTGGAAAGATGACTCAACTGGCTATTGAACCGCCCAACGGCCGACACCCCCTTAAAATCCCCAAAACTCTGGGTGGACTTGAAAATGATCCCACTTATGGGCTCACCACACCTCAGTAAGTGGGTGAGGACAAGGTGCAGAAAAAGGATTGACGGCATCAGGGTATCCGTCCTAGGATCCAACTGCAGTTACCCCTGCCCCCAGTGAAGGTAATACATGCTACTAATGTGGGTGGCTAAATCAGAGTGGATCTGATCTAAGCGTCACTAGCATCATTGATTACACAAGAGTTAATCTAGCCAGAAGCAGTCCATGGTTAACAGGTATGGATACTTCAAATAGAAAGACTTAGTATACGAACCCTGAAACCAACAAAGTTGGCAGATACAACAATACACCTTCAAGCAGCCGAGCCTGTTGGCAACAGACCCAACACAATCAGGCATAAGTGTACCCACCAACCGGACTAGCTGGCACACACACACACACACACACACACACACACACACACACACACACACACACACACACACACACACACACACGTGCACAAGCACACGCAAACGGCCATGACCGCATCGTCATAGGAGTGTTTGAGGGTGATAAGCGCCACAAGCTCTTAGCCCCCCCCCCCCCCCCCACACACACACACATACTTTTGAAGTACCCACATAGGCACATACACACACGCACACACACACACACACACACACACACACACACTTGTTGCTCACTGCCAGAACTGGTCACGTGGGTCTCCCTGGGAGAGGGGAGAGAGACTCCCAGTGAAGGTAATACTTGCTACTAGTGTGGGTGGCTAAATCAGAGTGGATCTGATATAAGCTTCACTAGCATCATTGATTACACAAGAGTTAATCTAGCCAGAAGCAGTCCATGGTTAACAGGTATGCATACTTTAAATAAAAAGTATATGAATCCTGGAACCAACAAAGGTGGCAGGTACAACATTACACCTTCAAGCAGCTGAGCCCGTTGGCAACAGACCCAACACAATCAGGTATAAGTGTACTGCCCCCCCCCCCCCCCCCCCCCACACACACACATGCACGCACGCACGCATACACATTCAGCACTCACTTCAGTGCCTTGATCTTGGTGTCCGTCAGGTTGGTTGCAATGACGTGTGTAACTCTGGTCTTTCGGTAATAATGTTGATAACCGCCACCGTGCATGTGAATCAACCTCTTCAGCTCATCAGATGATGGGTCTGAGCACAAGCAAGCAAACAGACCACCGCTAATGCATTCACATGGGCAGCGTATGAATTATAGTGACTACACCCAGCAGCACTGTACTGTCAGGACGAGAGCAGCAGTCGCAGTGCCAAACCTGTTAGTGTGTATATCCAACACTACGGTTGATGTAGGTTTGCAGCGTGGTACGGCAAACCATAGCAGGGGCTTCGGAAGGTATTTTAGTGTGGTACGGTCAGCCATCTGAAGAACAATGTACTCGTGGGGGAGTGGTGGCGGAGGCGAACATTTTGGAAATTTAGATCCCAAATCAGTGTATTTTATTGGTTTACAGGGTCCATGGGACAAAAGGTGGTACAGTCAATACCGTAGTGACCGTACCGTGTCCGACGCCCCTGCGTAGTTATTGCGGACAACCAAGCAGCAGGCAAAAGCCACGCGCGTGGCTAGGCGCGCAACAATGGGGGTGTCTGGCATGCAATGGCGGGCAGCCGTACTAGGGAAAGCCCAGGTCGCACCATGAGCACACCCATATGCGCAAGCGAGACTACGCCATATTGGCATAAAGGTGTCAGCACTATTAAAATATTAATGCAATGTTTACTACAAACAGGGCCCATGGTGCCTAGTCTCTATATTAGGAAGCAGGTCCTTTCATGGCACGAAAGGGCTCCAGCGCTCATACTAAGCCTGAGCCAAGGTACAGTACTAACCGAACATGACTCTGTTACATGAGAGTAACTAACCGAACATGACTCTGTTACATGAGAGCTAGATACAACTGTAACAAGGCGGTACTGTGAAAGGAGTCAAAGGACTAAGTTAGTGCCAGGCAGAGACAGGCGGCGCCAGCATGGCTGAGCAAAGCATACCACGTATGGAAGAGGCGAAGTCCCCGGTTGCCACCGGATCCACGATAACAGACACCACCATGCTTATGGGAAATAAGGCGCGAGAGCCCACCGGGAAAGGTGGGCCGCCGGCAGGAGGACAGCAAATAGAGGACCAGGCAAGGGCCGCATAAGTGCGTGGCAAGCGCAAATAGCGTAAGACGTACTCACAAGGGCCACCACGCGCGAGTATGGCAGCATGAGTAGATTACGAGAGTACTATGCCGGGTCAACGCAGGGCGGACAACGGTGTGGTAGTGCAACAGCACGAGGCACCTCAGCAGTTGGAGGTGGCGAACACAGTGACAGCATCATTATTTGCAGCTAGCAGTAGCAGATGCACCTGATTTTTTCAAGACTATCAACGAGGAGCAGCAGGCAATCCTTGTTTCACAATGGTGATTGCATAATCACATGGCAAAAACAACAAAAATGCAACCCCATTCTATGGTGCTATGATGTGGGTGCCTCGGGGGGGGGGGGGGGGGGGGGGGGGGGAGGGAGGGGCGATAATTATTGTTTATACGGACGTAGACAAGAGCTGTCTGATTTATGGTGCATGCAATACAAGACAATTATTTAGGTCCTGCCAACAACACCAGCGTGCAAGGAGACGTGGCAAGTACAATACGCACAGGTGATCTAACTACAAGGTATGCACGCACACATGTACGCACGCGCAAACACACACACACACACACACAGCTACTTCGAAGTACAACACCCTGGCATTAAGAATCACAGTATGAAGGCACTGTGGACAGCAAACACTGAAACAGTGCAGCATCATTACCAGTATAGCCGTTGACGTGGATGATAACACCAGCAAACATGTCACTCTGCACTGCATCACTGCAAGTAGGTACAAACACAATACACCCAAAACCAGCACACCAGTCTTAGAGAGCATATCCCACACAACAATGCTCTTATACCATAATGCACTTGTACAAGCTGGCCCAAGTAGGCCTTACGGTGCAGCACTAACATGCGAAACTGAACAAACACAGGTGAAGAGCTGACCTGCAAAACCCAGTAAATCCATTTTGAACTTCTTGGAGAAATGGCAACTCTGGAGGTCTTTCTAGACATTCAATTTTTTTATTTTTTTATTATCCCATACCGCACACTTTGTCCAAATAATAGAACATGTTCAATGCAGATCTGGCACATGAAACTAACTTGGTGTACATGCGCCGAATGGCCAGTAGGTACTAATACAAGAACAATCCCATTTTTTCATCTCACCACATTGATGATTAGCTGCACATGGATGCAGCTAATGGGGTCGTTTTCGGCACTTGTGCCAGTGGTTGTGAGACTTATCCACTCACCCCCACCGTTAGGCGCTGCATCTGCCGCTAGGGTTTATCGGGTGTTAGCGGCCGTCGTGAGTTCCCTTCGGGAACGGACACGATAATTTACTTTTTTTTATTTACATTGAATATGCATGCATGCACAAGCACACAAACACATACCCACCCACACCCACGAACACACACATACACACACACACACACTCTCTCTCTCTCACACACACACACACACACACACACACACACACATACACACACACACACACACACACACACACAGCATGATACACACACACACACACTGTCGGTCTGTCTGTCTGTCCAACTGGCTGTCTGTCTGTTTCTCTGTCTCTGTCTCTCTCACACACACAGCATGACACACACACACACACACACACACACACACACACACACACACACACACACACACACACACACGCGCGCGTGCACACATACCGACACACACACTCTCTCTCTCTCTCACACACATACACACAGACACACACACACACACACACACACACACACACACACACACACACACACACACACAGACACCCGCTTATACAAGCACACATGCACACACGCAGACACAGACACAGACACACACACACACACACACACACACACACACACACACACACATACATACACACACATACATACATACACACACACACACATACACATACACACACACACACACACACACACACACACACACCAAACACCCCAACCACCCCAAACACGCTTATACACACACACACACACACACACACACATGCACGCGCACAGCCAGCAAGTCAGTACATGTATCGATGGCAAGGGACTAAACTCACTTGACTTGCAAGTGTTCACCCTTGTCATACTGCTGCTGGAGTTTCTGAATCTTTGCATTCATATATCCACCCTGTGCAACACAAATATACCACACATATCTTTTGAGATAACTTCACTTATCAGTTATCACATGTCACACGAGTGTTTCCTAGGGTCGGGCCAATCAGAGGCCGTACTCATCGCGCCATATCTTTCGGTATTTGGTCTGCTGAGTCCAGCTGAGCGGGCCACTGGGTCACTTTTCACGTGCCAAACATGCAAGGATTGCCGAAAATGGCTAAAGTGCGCCGTATAGTGTACGCTGGTGACATGTGATAAAGGATTACTGACCTTGCAGTACTGGCAATACTGGAATCGATATCTGTTGGTATTGCCCTTCTACTTGCTCAACAATCCATACACAACTGTCATTCTTGATGGAGGGTACTGTGATGACCTCATTCGCATAACATCTACCGTAGAGTCGCGTATAACAAAACGTAGCCTTAACATACGACTTTTTGGGGGAAATTTCGCAGGCTTCTATATGAGACAGGCTTCTATACAAGACAGGTTTATGTGTGAACTGTAGTACCGGTATTCTGGCTCGTCACATACCGGTATCACCAATATCACCGGTATCACCAATATCACCGGTATCACCAATATCACCGGTATCACCAATATCACCGGTATCACCAATATCACCGGTATCACCAATATCACCGGTATCACCAATATCACCGGTATCACCAATATCACCGGTATCACCAATATCACCGGCATCACAGCCATTTCAGCACAATTGGGCTTGTTTACACATCTTTTTCTACACATTTCTTCTGTTGATGTCTGATCTGCGTCACGAGTTCTCGCGCCCATGCAGCTTATACATGCGACAGTGGGGGTAGTGTAGCCTGTACGATTTACTAAACTAGGACTAGGAGTGAGTGTAGTGTCGCATTTTGAAGCCGCGCCGACTATACTAGGGCGGCTTGTGCGCGATTTGATGTTTCCAAAAGTATGGCTTCTATTCGAGAGCGGCTTCTATTCAAGTGAGGCTTTTATACAAGACTTTACGGCGAATGAATTTGTACAAAATAGATTCCGTCCGAACATTATCTGCTTAACGGTACTACAGTGCTGCTCAATGAAATCCAATCGAGAGAGTCAATAGCACTGCACCGGGCACCGTGCAGCCCTAGGCATGCAAACACTGGGATGTGAACTGGCGCACGGCTACGTAAACTTGACAATCGCACAATTAGATTTCATTGAGCAGCACTGTAGTATCCACTTGTAAGGACCTCCATTCCACACACAGGCTTCCAGCTGCACAAAATAAACGAAAGTACTGCCAATATTTCACCCATTGGGCATCGCATCATCAGGGCAATACGAAAGTGGAAAGAAAACGCTGAAGTGGAGTTCGAAAGTTCTTACAAGCACTCACTGTACACTCATATCTCTCTTATCTGGACAGTCCGGGACCGGGCACTACCCATAACTTTCAAATGTCTGTAACTCTAATCATGCACGTTTTGATGAGGAAGAGCCAGAGGTCTGGCATATGACGTCACCATTTCCACAAATATTGGCAAAAGAGTAGTAATATTTCCACTAAACTCACTCACAGGGTGCCCGGTACCGCGTACCGGTAGACCGAGGTGCCCGTAACACGGGGTCCGGATAAGAGAGATATGAGTGTACACGGCTGTACGACATATCAGATACACTGTAATCCCATGCAGCTGGCTGTCCCACGTCAAGCGTATTCAAATAAAATCAACAAGTCATGTGAGTTACTACTACTGTTTTGCTATCAAACACTAATTCTGATCTTCATGACAAGCCTAGTCATTGTTACTTGCTAGGGTAATAAAGATATGAACTCCTCACCTGCTCCTCCCATCCATTGACTGGCCGTTTCCTTTTCTTTCCCCGATCCATAATGACACACTGCTAGTTACTGTATGAAATTACATTGTAGTCGTATTCGTATCGGCCAGAATGAGACTCCGGGTTAGTACGGAAGAAGGACTGAGTCGGAGAAATAGTACAGTAGTGATATAGCCTATTATAGGGATCTCTCACAGAGTCACACAGTCAAACATTGTAAAACAAAATAGGGCAAACGACCTGGAGCTGCACCCGACATAGGGTACTAGGGTCTCGATCAGGGGTCCTTTGTTGCTAGCGCAAGCCAGAGGAATTCCAAGAAGTAAAGAAAGGCAGCCTTCTTCTTTCAATCAAGGGGGCAGTAGACGTCCTCAGTGTACAAAATCTTCTAAAAAGTCCAATTCAAAATAGATCTAGAGGCGCGTGCGTGTGGACATGTCGACATGTCGTGGCATGTCATGACGTCATGTAATGGTCCTGTAGTGGGTCCATTCTCCATAGCCTGTACATAAACTACTGAGTACTTACTTTCCCTGCTACAGCCTTCCCTGCTACAGCAGTACCCCATTACTGATTACAGGCTGTAGCAGAGAAAGTAAGTAGTTTATGCCAGGGAGTCACCATGGTCACGACTCCCTAGTTTATACAGGGAAGTGTCCATGCATACGTAGATCTACGGTCGGGCTGGTGTCCACCGTATATCATACCACTGGCACCAGCAGTCAAAGAAGCAAAGTCGTGAAGACTTACAAAGCTTTTTATACATTGTAGGTCTACCAGAGTCCATAAACGTTTATGCACTCTTGATTGTACGTCATGTGCTAATAGTACTAATAGTATTATCTAAATTTTGTAGACTTGTAGTAGTACAGGCCTGATGTCCATTCTATGATGTATGCGGTGAGTCACTGCACTACATCCGGCTTGACTGCAAACGAATGGAGTGGACTCCGTGAGGCAATAGTCTACACTATAGTCTCTACGGTCGGCTACATGCTCACTCAGGGAGAGTGGCATTTGGACGTAAACCAGGACAAAACGAAATGGGTTGAATTCAACGACCAAAAAGGAGCCTGGAGGCTGACCAAGAAGCTTGATTCTCTACAGCAGCACACTACCCTTCCCCTCGCTCGCTCTCTCCCACTTTGAAATTCGCTTCCATAGAATAGGGCACCATTGCCCGTTTGGCCTTGCGATGTAAAATAATAGCCAACAACAACACCACCACACCCCAGTAGGTGTATAGTACCCAATTGCACCGGTACCCATGCTCAACTGTGGCATGCTAATATCCCAGCACATGCAACACAGTGATGTGGCAATCAATATAATGAGGGCATGTACAAGATGGAATGGGTCACGGGAGGGCATGTCCATGTACACAGAATGGAAGGAAAATGTCATGGCATGCGAAGCAAGCAAGCAGCCGCCTGGCTTTCAGTTATGCGCGCGAGTATAGGTGAAGAGTGAAGAGTATCTAAAAAGGCATTAGCAAAATGTCATGGCATTTCTAAAATTAGCAAGCAAACGGCAGCAGCTTGAACGACTAGGCCTCGGAGCATGGCTGCCAGTCCAATGCATGGGTAAACTGTCAGCATGCCAAAAATCAATACACAAGAAATGTAGGAGTTGCATTATTTGGTAAATGAAACCCAGCGTGCGTTCCAAGCTCACGCACCCAAGTTCGTATTGAAGCTATTTTAGGAACTAGTCAAAAGAGACCGGCACTTCAACCATAGCAAGGCCAAGAAGAGAAAGAATTAAACTTCAATGTACATGTTCCTCAATCTGACAACAGACAAAACGTCCACTTATGACGAGAATCGAAATGCTAGTCGGCAGCAACACTGATTATCGCCAGCTTTGACCAGGATCAGATCTGCCTTGTCCAGAAGGCTGGTCACTGCGTCTAGAATCGCCACCCCTCCAGCTACGGTCATCGCGACGGTCATCACGACGATCATCCCGACCAAAGCTGGCGCCAGGACCAGGACGACCCCTGTCATCACGGCCAAAGTCTCGTCTGCCACCATCGTCACGCCGCTCGTCTCGTCCTCCAAGGTCTCTCCTGCCACCAACGTCACGCCTCTCGTCTCGTCCTCCACCAAAGTCTCTTCCAAAGTCCCGGCGCTTGTCATCACGTTTATCATCGTGGCCAAAGTCCCTTGGACGATCATCACGGTTGAAGTCCCTTGGACGATCATCACGGTTGAAGTCCCTTGGACGGTCATCACGGTTGAAGTCACGTGGACGGTCATCACGCTGTCCATTATCACGGCGTCCTTCATCGCGACGTCCTTCATCACGGCGTCCTTCATCACGCCATCCACCTTCACGCCTATCCTCCCGGCCAGAATCTCTTGGGCGCTCATCTCGGTTAAAGTCGCGTGGACGATCATCTCTGCCAAAGCCGCGGGAGCGGTCGTCACGTCCAAATTCACGGCGCTCGTTACCACTAGGCCCATGACGCGAGTGGCCATTGCGATGACCATTATCGTGCTCTGCATGGTCAAGAGGTGCTCGGCGATCATCTCGGCGCTGCTCCTCGCGACGACGCTCCTCCTCGATCTTTCGAAGTTCTTCCTGACGCTGTCGTTGGCGCTCCTCCTCTTCCTCTTTCAACTCTCTCTCCCGCTCTTCTTCGGCTCTACGTTGTTCTTCCTCATAGCGCCGTTCCTCCTCTGCAATGCGACGTTCCTCTTCACGCTGGCGCTCGTCTTCACGCTGCCTCTCTTCCTCGAGACGTCGAGCTTCTTCTGCTTGGCGGATCTTCTCCTCCTGCCATTTTTTACGCTCATCTTCCATACGCCTCTTGAATTCTTTCATTTCATCCTACACAGCAGCATATAACAAAATAGCTACAGTATCAGTGATTATTTCAAACAAGTATCCTCAATTTTTCCACAGCATTGGGCAAGAGAGTTTGCGTTGCAGGACCACAGAGGCGGGGCATGTTGCTACAAAACACAGTAACATCAATGACCATGCTGGGATGGAGACTCCCTCGATTTAGGCTAAGGTCTGTGGAGAATCCATAAATACAAATACGGGATGCTTGGCAAGACCGACGAAACCTTTACTGGAACTCTTCCCCAAAGAAGCTGTATGATTGCCCCCCTCAAACAACAAATATACGTGAACTTTACTGATGCAGCTCATAATCCGGGGGGGGGGGGGGGGGGGGGGCAACAATTCACTGCACTCAATCAATGCTGTACCTGATAGCGCAAGTTGCGATGGCCAGACAATTTATCAATGTAGATTCTGACATCTCCATCCATTCGAGACAGGCGCGTTTTGTGCTCCTCGGCATCTTTGCGGTCAGAAATGGCATTGGCAATCTGAAGCGAGAAAATCAGAGGAAATCATGCTTGGATGGTGAACATGACAACGCCATCATTGGAAGAAACATAGAATAACTTGCCAGCAGATTGACAGGCACTGCAGCTCTTGAAAAGTCGATATAGTGTACAGTGTCAAGTCACACAGAAAAACCAATAGAAACAACATGATATGAAACAGGAAGAAAACTTTACATACCATGGCCTCCTGCTCTTCTTTGAAGAACACTTCATCTTCCTTCTTCTGCTTTTCATACTGTTCCTGGAGAAGTGGAATCTCCACAAGACGCTTCGCTCTCTCAAAGTGATCCACCTAGACGTAAGACACAGGCAGGACATAACACATAGAAGGTATAGTTACAGATCGAAATATGCCTCGGTGAAGATTTCTTGGTGTAATGTCCACTTGTACACAACTCCCTACACCTCTGTAAGCTCAGACCGTTCTTCTTCCACTATGCAATGAAAATGCAAGTAGGCACTACTTTGAAACGCCTTGCGATCATATGACAGAAGTGGGGTCACCAGCATGCCTGCAAGCACTTATGACCAACCTTCTTCTCAATAGCACGGAGGCGAGTAGCCAGTTCCTTCTTTTCTTTGTCGAGCTCTGCCATTTGCTTCTGAACAAGGCTGTCGGCATCAAGGTTCTCCAGTTCCTGGAAAACAAGAGAAAACGTTGCATCACAGCATTCAGGCATATTATAAACCACATAAAACTCTCCTCGTCCATGCGCTCCATGTTTTATTCATATTATAAACCAGTCTAGTGAATGGGTTGCAAAAAAAGAGAGCAACACACTGCCTCCTAATGCCAGAGCCGCATTCATGGAAGGCACACTAGGTCTAAAGAGTGGCGATTCAAATGTGACACTGAATTCACATTATACTTCCACTGTGTCATCGAAATGGTGGGCGCAGTGCGCTTACGCCTTAGCTGGTGTAGAACAGACTGTTTCTCAACAGAAGCCCTAGCGCCGGTAAGTAACTCAACTGGACGATAGTCTCAAGTCTAGAATAACAGGCCAACACTATTAATTTCTCTCTCGTTAGTGAGCTGATAGCAATAAGCTAGACACAGTGCTAACATCCATGCAGCTGTAGTTTTCACAATCTGCAAACAGTCGGGTGTTGCTGGCTGCACACCTATCCTGCTGATCGCCACCTTCTCTAAAATTTCCTGTTTCTCGTTTTACCTGAGCAGGAGTAAGAGTGAGTTCATAAGGGGATAGACACGAGTCCCTCTACATCCATCCCACGCTTTTCTACGCAACTCTGGAGCCGCGTACGTATCACCTTGCATTTTCTTTCTTAATATAAGTACAAAGAGGACCAATTGTACTGTAAGCATTTCAATATTCAGTTAACTGTCAAGGATATTTATTATTACCAGGGCACATGTAGTGTGGTCAACTCACCTCTGGCTTCAGACCAGCCAACGCCTTGCCACCAATGGCCGTCTTCTTGATCTGTTCAATCTTCTCCATGACTTGACGGCGGCCGATTTCTGCCAGCTCCTCCTTCTTGCGCTTGGTCTCGCGCTCGTCAGCTTCCTTCCTTAGTCTGGCTTGCTCGGCTTCTTTAGTCTTGCGGATCTTCTCCGCCTCCAGTTCCCGTTCTTTTTTCTCCTGCGGCAGTGACAAGGGCAAAAATCATGCAAACATTCAAAACTTCTACATTCGCTTTTGCGGCGAGTGCATCTGAAAAGTGTGAGGTGTTTACTGTTATGCAACAGTACAAAACTCACTAAATGCAACTGATCACACGTGACTATGAAGACACAGAAATACTAAGTACCTTTGCCTGAGCTTTAGACTCAATGTCCTCCTTTCTCTTCTCAATGACGCTCTTCCGCTTCAGCATATTCCTGTGCTCCTTCACACAGCACTGACGGTAGGTGTTAGCTGTTTTCTTGCGCATGACCTTGACAACGTCCTAATGAATAGAACACCACAGAATGACCAGTACACATTAAGCTACAGCTTCAATAGGCATATTTAGCCCCCACCCCAACCCCCACATGAATACTCTAGTCATTAGTCAACTACAACTAAATGTGCAGCTGAGCACTTTGAAAGTGCATGCAAACGGCACAAATAACCATTTAACCAATGCAATGACATGTAAATCCTGGTCTCGGCATGCCCAATAAGAGCCATCAAGCTATGGGCGAGCACTAATGATCAGGATTCGGAATTTATGTGGCGAAGTGAAAAATTGAAGCCAGTTACACGGTAGTAGCAACACTGGCCACAGAGTGTTGCTTCGCGTATGCACATAACTACTTGGAAAAACGGCTAAGCATGCTGTCTTGTCCATGCATGTGCATCAAACAAACCAGGTTTCACTACCCAGTGCATAAGACCTTACAGAGTCTACGGACGGCGAGATCATTGACGCAGCCTTGTCCACCGAGCTGTAGATGTGGGACATCTGCTTCCTCAGCACCTCCGAAGGCATTTCCTGTATAGGAGGCAAACGTCGTTAATCATCAGAACAATACCACCGGTAATACATTTCCTAGGAAGAGAATGAGGTATAAATCATCAACAAGAAGTACAGGTCCTCCCTCGTTAGTAGATAATCTCTGGGTCATCAAATAACTATCTTGTAACAGGACTTGCAACTAAGCCCTTTAGGAGCTACAGGACACATTTGGCTCGGACTAACACATTGTAGTCCCACTATCACCATGTTTTTGAATCAAAAATACCAAGAGAGGAGGAGAATTTCGAGCTCGTTCCTGTATTCAACCCCTTTCCGATTTCTAACTGTCTCCTCTACCAAAAGCTGCTTTTAGGGGCCGTCCGTAATTGTCGATCTTTTTCATGAAGAGAAAAAGTTTCGTTTGTGGGTGTGTGGGTCAAGGAGAGTTTTATTTCGTTTTGAGAAATGAGCCCCAGCCAGCAAAAACCTGAACATGTGTAATTTTTTCAAAAATTATTTTTTCCCTCGAAATTGATTCTACACTATTAATCATTCAAGTTATCAAGTTTGGTGACAATCTGACGAGCGAAAGCATGGAAAATAGAGTTTGAAGTCACACAGGTCAAGATTCGGTACAGTTGGCGCAGCATCCATGTCCAGTAACTCCATGCAAGTTGATCCTACAGTTTCTGATTGTGATGTGGAACAGGTACATGTAAGTAAATAGGATGCAAGTCAGGCTTGCCCTCTTGGTGCGCAAGCATGAGTAGTTCAGAAGTGTGACGATATTCCGTATACACCACTACCTTCTTTACAACACCAGAGTGCAAAACGATGATTGGTGGCTGGCCTTACAAATTGTGTTCAGGGACCTCTGTGCTGGCAGTTTGAGCGTTGTCCCAAAGCTTGCCATACTGATAGATGTACTGACCAATACCACTGACATCCACTCCCTTGCACACTTTCACTCAGACCATGATTTCAGCATAATTGTATATCAGCATAATTGTATTTCAATGATCTGAGCGAATATTCGCGTTTTGTAGCTCGTGAAGATGTTGCCCCAACGCGTTCAGCCGGTTTGACTTTTTAGGGATCGCCTTTCTCAGCACAGGCAGCAGCCAGCTTGGCGTCGTCTGGCAAGGTAGAGTACTGATAATACTACGCTCTGTTTTGCGCCGTGAGACCCTCCATCAGTGTCTGCAAAATCATTGTTGTCGACGTAGAAATACGGATCGCTCAGCGGGTCGACATTCAGCTTCTCCTCGCAGTCGCTATTACTCCAGCGCTGACTATCGTCGCCATCAGTATCCAGTGTCGATTTTATGAGGGCTCTTCGTTGCTATGCATATGAAACTCGCCACTACTGGACAAACTCAGCGAGATCGCCACCAAAGAAATAATTCTGATCGCGAACTAACTTTCAGCGCCGCTTCGTACAGGGAGTCTCACGCTGACAACTCTGGACCTAAGTCCTCGGCCTTGTCGCGACACCTGTCGCCATCACTGTGTCTAAACTCAACCTCCGTGTGACGAGCTCTCACCTAGCGCTAAAATCAATTGACCAGAGACATTTGGAGACACTTGAAACTCCTTTGACAACAAAGACACCCACTCGATCGAAAAAGAATCTTCAAAAGCCAGCTCACTGCGCGTCCCAAACTTTGACGTCACATTTTGATGATTGATATCAAGTACACAAGTGCTGGTTTTCGCTGGCCGGGGCTCAAATATCGATAGCTGAAACATCAATCTATTCTAGCTGTCAAATCAATTCATTTTTCGTTCGAGGGGGTGGGTGGGCTGACCTCCCATAGTAGTGTTGTTACAACCAATATCCACTAGACTAAATAATAATTATATATGAGCCGGCGCAAGCGAAAAGGAACCTTATCCTGCTGCACGTGATTTTGAGAAAACCGCACTTGAAGTGAATATTCTCAGCTGTCTCGTTCGGATCGAACTTGAAACTGTTCGTTTTTTGGCGATACGCGACTTCTTTGGAGCTCAGTCATTCTTTCTATTGGAGAGCCAGTATCCTACAGCTCCTGTAGAAGAAAACCCTGGCTAAATCAACCCACGTACCACCGATCGGCGATCAAAATCGATCGACCGTGACACCTCCGCTGAATAAAATCGCACGCGCGAGCGGAAAGACAAAAAGTTGCTTTCACAGTTTCAGCGCAGTTGTCTTGCCGTCTTCGCTTTCTGCTAAGTCCTTGGGTCGGCGTAGTTATTCACTATGAGCCATCGTAAATGTTTCACCGTGAACGAAGCGCTGAAATCTCTCCTGGAAGAGGATGAGGCTGAAGTTTTTGGTGAGGAAGAGGAGTCGGACGCCAGTGACGTTTCGGTTCAATCTGACGACGGTGACGATGATGGCGATGACGATGGTGAACACTTTCTTGAGCAGCGAGTGGATGTCGACTCAGCAGCAGAGCTGTATGTCGGAAAGGCAGAGCCCAAACCTCCGCAGGCTAGCTCCGCAGCAGCTTGTGCAGCGACCGTTGCGCCGGCAGAGGAGGATGACACTGTTCGTCAAAAAGAGAACTGCGGATGTTCAAAAAATTGCTTGCAGCATCGAGACGTCGATCCTGAACATGAGAAAAATGGAGTCGCACGAGAGTGAGCTGGTGGTCCTGGGCCTTCTTGAAGCTTTGAGTCATCCTGAAACAGTTTTTGATAGTGGAGAGAAGCGCAAGAGGGTGCGTTTTACCTACACATTCCAAGGACTGACTGTTTGTGTGGGTGCGTTCCGTCACGTGTACGCACTGTCTGGCAAGAGGCTGAGACGGTACAGAAGCCACCTGGAGGAGAATGGGCTTGTGCCACTAGTGCATGGCAACACAGACAAACGGCCACACAATGCCCTGGAGTTTGCTGTTGTAAGTACCGCGTGGAGTGGGCACGCAGAAGTGTTTGGAATTCCACATCCTGCGCCACTCCGTGGTAGAGACGACACGCCACCTATCTTCCTTCCAGCGTCGCAAACGTACAAGTCCGTGCATGGAGACTTCTGCGACTGCTGCCACAAGGAGGGTGAGAAGTCTGTATCCTTGTTGACGTTCCGCTCCATCTGGCACCAGACATTGCCGCATATTAAGTTCATGACGGCTCGCATGGATGTTTGCCCTGTGTGCGAGGACTTGCGGCGCAACGTGATGGCGGCTGGGAGTGAGGAGCAGAAGACGACCGCATGCACTCAGCTGACTGACCATGTTCATGGGGCCCAGAGGGAGAGAGAGAGAGCTACCGGCAGAGAACCACAGATGCTGCTGCTGAGCTTCAGCTAGTTTCAGCTATGTCTCCTGCTGATCGCCCGCCGTTAACAAAGTCCCACTACACGTTTGACTTTGCTCAGAGCGTCAGCTTGCCGTATACGACCAGACAGGTAGGACCACTTTACTTCAAAGTGCCTCGGAAAGTCCACTTGTTTGGTGTATGTAATGAAGGCGTTGGCCAAGAGGTGAACTACATTATTGACGAGGCAGAAACCATCGATCCTGACGGCAAGAAGAGCCACAATCCGAACACTGTAATTTCTTTGTTGCACGACTATTTTTAGTAGTGTGTGTATACTGTATCCTCCAGCCCTTCCGCTGGTGACTCGAAGGCTTCTGTAAGGCTTCTATGGCCAAATTATTGCAATTTACGCATTTCAAAGATTATTCGTGAATATGTGCGATGTTTTGGTGAAAACAGTGTTGATTTAAACGCCCGTAACTTTGCTATGTTGATGGATTTTCATTCGGCTTTTTTTATCTGATTCATACGTTCTCTGGCTAAAGGAACCCGTTGCTAACTCAAAATGCCCAAAAAACGGATAAGGTCCCTTTTCGCTTGTGCTGGCTCGTGTATAGAAAACAATTACAAGTCTGCACCCAACCTTTTCGTTCCGTGAAAATTATCGATATTGCCGGGGGTCCCTTAGCTTTGTTTCTATTACTCTCTCGATCGGTCCTGATTGTTTTGACTTGTCTACCCTTTTCTGCCAGGTGTTCCTTCTTCCCTTCCCTGATGATGATGATAATTACCCCTACCCTCTCACCTTGTATTCTTAAAAGTTAAGAGACTTCCTTTGATAGGCAACCACTTGCCTTTGGAGAATCCTTGAAATGAAAGTTTCAATATAAATATTGAAGCCAAAATGCATCGTGACTGGGACACATGGACTTACTTGTAGCAAAGGACCTTCAATGCTCTGCTCGACTAGCGAGATGTCTGCACCAAAAGTGACTGTTTGCGAACGGTGATCAATTCGAGCCTGAACACATATTAACAGAAAAGTTTACATGTCAAATAGAATGCATCGGGAATAATGGATACTCCATGACCACACCGTGCGTAACTTGAATCTTTGAGGAAATGTGGATACGAAGAAAGCGCACGTGCAGATAATGTTTATTAACCCTTTCATTGCCACTGTCGACGAAAGTCGACAGCGCATTCATGCACTCTGAGTGCCACTGTCGACGAAAGTCGACAAGCAAACATGCAGTCCCCAGTGCCACCGTCGACAAAATCGACAGGCAGACTTCGCCCAGTTTGGGCCGCTATTTTTGAATATTGGAGATGTTTAGCCGTGGTAGAGGGCCACTAGGCCCTAGAAGAGGTCCATACCCATCGAAATACGCTGCCAGAAGCATGGGTTGCCATTTGAAAAAATCGAACCAGCGTCGTTGAAAATGCGCATCTGATTTTTAGCCGAGCGGTGCGGAAGAAATCGGGTTCTTACGCACTTCCACCTTGCTGAGTCGGTGCCAGTTTTTTCTCTTTCCCGTCAACTTTCATTGCAAGGAGCATGACATTTGATGCCTAGCCATTGCCCAAGACTCCAGGCGGCTATCCATTGCGATAGGCGGTTGGAGTCAGGGGTAGAGACAACCACACGACGGATTCCTCACGGACGCATTCACTGCAAACTTGGCGGAAACAGCGCTGGCGGCGCTCACTGAGTCCAGAACTAAAATTTTCTAAGAACTACCACGTTACAATGGCGACCAGCACAGTCAAGAAACACTACAGGTATGTCAGCTACAACATAATTATATTCTTTCTACAACGACACCTACCTCAGGCTCAATACCTGACGATCTACTGCAAGCTGATGCGGAAGTGCATTACACCCGCGAACGCCGCGCTTGTCAACGGAACAGGGAAGCGCTTCACTCTCCGAAGTCGAAATGTATTCGGACTGCTGCTAATCGGGAGAACAAACGACCATCATGGCGGCAGAACATTCTGCAGCTGTTCACCGACACGACCCGCTTCACCAAACGACTTACGATCGTTTCGTTCTCCGAGTTTTCTGGTGGCAGCAACTAGAATTTCGTCCGCAACAACAGGACGAAAGTCTCTCGCAACTGAAGTCCTGTTGCCACGAAGACAGAGAACATTCCGGACGCCATCTCTTCTGCTTCCAGTGTTGTAGCTCTCCGGTCCACTGGCAGATCTTTCAATCCCAGCTAACAAAAAAAGGATCTGCTTCTCTCTCCAAAACAACAACTAACTTTACTTCGCGAGTGTCCGGGCCGATCGTGCACATAGTGTATATAGCGCATGCGGCGCACAGCGCACTTTCGCATGACATGCATTTTTGCACAGCGGCTGGCGCTTAAGGGCGCAGCACGTTTGTACTTCGGATTTTTCGATTTTTCGACGGCAATGGCTTCCTTTACGAGTTGTCTACCTACTATGTATACTTTGGAAAGCGATATTCCGACTTTCCGTACAGAAAGTACCAAAAAATCCATGAGAAGTTGGCCTTTCGATTTTTCGGACTGCTGGAGGCAAAAAGTGCCTGGCAAGGGGGTGTACAGCTCAGCTGACAGCCTGGCAGGGAGCGCCTTGTCACCTTGAGTGGTCAGCTGGCAGTGAAAGGGTTAACCCTTTATGTACCAGCCATCTAATGTATGTAAGGGGCGATCGCACCCAAAGAAGCAACCATGGTATGAAATCTCGACAACTTTTGTATATGCAAGTTGTGTTTTCCTGACTCCATATGTATCACTGCACCCAGGTAAGCATGGATATTGGGACAGCATGCAGTAGTATATGAAGGCCATAGGTGGAATACCAAAGATACGCGCCAATTGTCCATATTTCTGACCAACCAGGGTATCACAAACAAACAGACTGAGGATTAGTTTGTGCTCATGTACTGGGAACATAGGGACGAAACAACCTCCTAAGCGTTGTCTCAGTGCATGAAGAGCAACAACATACCAGGGATATGGTCATATTGTCACATATTTGAGGTGAAACAATTGGTTCAAAATTGCAAATTTTGAATTCTTGTGTCAGATTCGAAATCTATATTTTTCTTCATCTACTCACATCCAGCGTAAGGTAAGTGAAGGAGAAAACAAGAAGCAGTCGCTGGCTGGTGAATTATGCCTGCCTTGACGATTTTAGGCCATCGCTGCCCTCCCTCTCGCCCCTGTTTTGAGAGCGAATACTGCGATGGGATCAGCGATACAAATTTGCAATTTCGAGTCGCATTCCGTGCCGACATCGCCACAGCCGATCTCTCCAAGCGTCCACCACATCTAGAAGACGTCGACATGACCTAGAACAAGCTACATCTTCGCTACAAGCAGAGAAACTGAGCGAGAACACGATCGAAACAGCGACAATTGTTTGCGCTGAAAAGCATACTTTTGAACGCGTTCGTTCTCCATACTTTCAAATGGCAACCTACCCATATCATACATCCAAATTTTCAGTGTGATCTAAGCTGTCCAGCGCAAAAAAACCGCGTGTCGATCGGAGCTACGGCGGCGGGACCGGCGCGCTTGATTGGAGTGCAGCGAACCGTACCATATGGTACGGTTCGAGATGGGGCTGGTACACAAAGGGTTAATCTCATCAGGTGTTTCATTCATTCAAACATGCAGTACACTGTGGACGAACGACATGTGTAGCCGCATGGTTGGAAGAGACATACGAAGGATACACACTAGCATAAGACATCTGCTGCTCACCTGTAGCTCCATGCGCTTGGATGCACGGACAATGGAGTTCTCCAAGGTAAACTTGGTCTCGTGCGGTGCCAACTGCAGTAGACGGTCAATCTCGATGCATGAGTACACCTGCGCTACTTGCTGCAGCAGACGGGCAGTTCCAACCACTCGGATGTTATCAGCATACTGCTTTAACTCCTCATCTTCTTCAAGAAACTTGATGCATTCCATAACCCGCTCAGAGATCCTGAGAGGATGGAACTCCTCTTCCAGCCATGTGAAGAGTTGCTTGAGTGGCTCTGGCAAATGGTCCAGGATGTTGAGACGTCTCTGAACCATTAGTACAGAAGCAAATAACAGCAAAGAATCACAGCTAAGCAGCAAACTCCATGGAAATTGTAGTGGGTACTTGTCGTCTCAACAAAATAATTGCCAAACCAGTTTATAAATCAGGCAGAAGCAACATGGTAGACCTAAAGCAATAGAGTAGCCACTAAACATAGCCAGAAGTTCGTTGCAAAGCCTTACCACGTCACTGATGAGCGATGACCTGGAAGGAGGCTGGCCGAGTTGAAGCAGACCAGCAAGCTTGCGGTGTTTCTCACGAGCAATCTCATTCAACTCGGCAGTAAAGTTGCTCTCTGGGGAGCTGGAGTGAAGCGGCACAGCCAACGTGGATGCAACGACACGGGATGCAAGCCTGTAGAAAAATTTGGCAAGGCAACAAGAGCATGTCCACTATATTAGTTCCGTATTGCTTTAACGCTCAGCGACATGTACTTGCAAGTACTAATCCAGGAGAGCGAGACACGAATAAATCTGCTGCTTTGCCTACTTACTGCAGTTGTATTCACACATTCATGCAGATTTCTTACCACTTTTAGGTTCCAGACACCTACGCCGGCAATCAATTTCATATTATGATTAAAACAGCATGTGCACTTACAAGGTAATGTTACAGTAACCATGGGAACACAAGCTACACACAACCTACTTTGAGAGCTCAACATCGGAGAGGTTCTTCTTCTGTTCTCTAGACAGAACAAGCAGGCGATGGCACGCGGCTGCATGGAAGAGAGGGTTCTTAGCCATCCAGTAGACGGTGGCTTGCTTCATCAAATAGTTAGCCACCATAGCGGGACGAGGCGGCTTCTTGCTCAGTGTCAGCAGACCATGTACATCGTTGATAGCCTTGAATGCCTCCTGCACACCCATCACACAAGCACATAATGGCACACCAAAGCACAGAACTACAATGATAAATTTGTGTTATTTTTTAAATTATAGGTTAGTGCATGGCAGGGAGCACCTCATGGCCTGTTAGTGTCTTGACAGGTTAACCCGAAGGTGTAGTCGTCATCCAAGCAGCAATCGTTCAGCCTTGCCGGAACATTGTTGTTGCTGTTGCTGTTATTGTTTGAAATCTTGCATTATCATGATGGCCTGTGGCCAATAAGAGAAGTTTTGTTGAATGTTGTTGTTGCGATTTATCGGTGAGTCTCCTATAGTATAGAGCAAGAACACAGAGTATAGAGGGGAAGAGGTAAATCCAGTCGCAATGGCTGACACGAGGCTTACCTGCCACAAGTCCAGTAAGATGGCGGTGTCCAGCTGCTGAAGGCGGGTCTCAACATGCATCTGCATGCTCTCTGGTGAATTAAGATTGACACTGTTGGCCTGGTTCTGATATGCCTGGATGTGGTTCAAGTGCTGGCGAAGCTGTTGTGTGTTAAACACAAAAACAAGCAGCAATCAATGAAGAAAGACAAGCCAAAAACTAGTCAGCTCATACCCAGATGTTAAAAACCTTTTCTCGCTTCTCGACAATGTAGCCGTATCATTTATACAGCCACTTCAGTCCACCCACCCACATCGCAGTGGTTACGGCAGAAGCAATGATGGAAGCACCAAGTTACAGCGCCAACGACAATACATGTACTTGAGACACCAAAGGGAGAGCAAAAAAATGAGGCAGCCAATCTTGGTATGGTATTGATTTATTTGAATTCGGTATCTCAACAGTACAATGTACAACTTGGGAAGATCCGAATGACATAGATACATAAACCTAAAAGTGGAGTAGGTGCTACAGCTGATCATTTTATCGCAGGTTGTGGGACAAAACTAATACCAATATGCAAGTCTTGCACAATAGTGATAGAGCATTTTCCACAGTACATTATAGTTTATCTATGTACGCTTAGGAAAATATTGCCAGTGATAGTGATAGGATCGTCCGGTGTGGTGAACATTCTGTGAATTGACTTTCGATGTAATGCTTCACTGCAAACCTGGCTTCGATGAGACAGGTTTTCTGTGAATTGGTCTGGCGGTGTAGAATGCATTTTGTGAATCGTCGTTTGATGACATGTCTTTCGGTGAACTATCATTCAGATTCTGTGAACTAGTTTTCGGGGAACAGTTGGTATCCCTACTGAAGCAAACAGGGTGGTTAAAAATTATGGTCCATCCTGAACCCCAAGTGTGCCTGTGTGGGGCATGTACAAGAACTTACATTGTCACACAACTTGCGGAATTCAGTACGACGGGCATAGTCCACGCAGAACTTGAAAGCTAGAGAAACACAAGAAGACCACGGGAAGCCATTAAACAAACAATTGTGCATGAACATGATTGTACAAAGCATCAACTGAGGCACAACACAAGCTTGACAGCCTCAGTGGACTATTCTCTGCAATCTACACACTTTGAGAATACTTTCAACAACAGCCAGGAATGACGTGCTTCTCAGGAACGGACATTTTCAAAGTTCCAATACAGTGAAGTACGTGTGGAGTGTTGCTGCTTTGGCTGGTGTACCCAGTGCAGGTCTGTCATGCAAATCCTGTAGCGGCAACAATGAAGGGGTCGCAAATCATTATTAATCCTAACAGTCGTGCTAGAATACACCGTTAACAAAAACAGCCAGGGGATCTAAGCTATCACCTATGAAGCTTAGCATCAACAAGTGATTACCTTCCTTTGCCACTTCATGGTAGATCTTCTCAAACTTGGCGTTGTTACGTAGAAGATCCAGCACACTGCGATAGGCCTCCCAGAGGAACTTGACCCAGGGCGTAAGCAGAACACGGTCAGTACGTGCCTGTGTGTCTTCAGCGCTCACCGCGCTAAGCAGCAGACTGTACAGTGAGATCACACAAAGAAGTGTCAGTATGGACAGAACTCTCAATGGATGCCTGCCACGTAGTCACCAGCACACACAAACACCTCCTCCTGATTGGTAGTGGGTGGGAATGGTGAGCTGAGTATGCAACTAGAACATGCTGGAAGTCTACAAATAACGTTATTAGGGCTGAAAGGAATATTCGAAATGTGCAGATCGGAAAAAGAATATTCTTCGTTAGAGTAGAATAAGAATGTTCGTAAATGTACAGAAACTCGCCTTTTAGATATCGAAAAGGTTTATTTGGTGTAGAAAGTGGGTGAGATTGCCACCTTCCAGGTGTTGTCATCAGCAAGACAAATTGATAACATTGTCCTTTTCAAATGTCCCTCCTGTAATTGGGGTATACACCAGTTGATGGTCTATGGTTACCATGGATACACCTAGGTATCCATGGATATTGTATGGTTTAGAATATTCGGAATATTCTTCGTTTCACAAGTATTCGGAAAGAGAATATTCGTTTGCTTCATTGAGCATTCGTTTCAGCCCTAAGTCGAATATAGCGAAAGTTAACCCCGGTCTACCATAAGCGTACCGATACTATAGTATCGGTACATTCGCGGGCTGATTTTGAATGGTTTTGTTGCTAGGGGAGATCTAAAATGGTGTCCTCCGCGTAGCTGGCACTCGCGGCTTTCCATCGATGTACAGGAAGCCTATGGTTCATATACAAAAATTTTTGGAACAAGTGCCTAGAAGTTTGAGAAGAACGTCCTCCGCCATGGCTCGCAGGTTCAGTGCAAGTGAGGCGCTTGATGCTGTTTTCAGGCCCGATTCTGATGAGAGCGGAGGTACCAGCAGTGACCCTGACTCTCCTGGCGATCTAGGCATGTCTTCTGACGAGGAGAGTGACCTAGATCGGGCCCTGCGTGGCGAGACGGATGCGGAAGAAGAAGTCAGCAAAGTCGAAAGCGAGCAGAGCTCGGACGTCAACTCAAGTGCTGCCTCGCACGCGCGATCAGCTGATTCACCACCTGATCAGGCGCGTCGTGTAACTCGTTTGACAGCAGCTGCTGTTACTCCTGTCGTTGACTACGATCTTGATTCAGACGATGACTTCGACTCGGCTTCGAGTGCGCAGAGTGATCGTGGAGCGAGAGGCGCAGGCCGCGGACAACTTGGTCGCGGTGGAGGTCACGGTGCAGGTCGTGGTGGTGCAGGTCGTGGTGATGGACATCGTGGTGGTGCAGGTCGTGGTGGTGGAGGTCGCGAGAGGCGCAGGCCGCATTGTTTCTTACGATGGCTCTGACTCTGATTCCGACTCAGGCTCGAGTGCGCAGAGTGATCGTGGAGCGAGAGGCGCAGGCCACGGACAACTTGGTCGCGGTGGAGGTCGTGGTGGTCAAGGTACAGGTCGTGGTGATGGACGTCGTGGTGGTGGAGGTCGTGGCCGTGGCAGATGTAATCCTGTAGATTGCGACGCTCCTTGGAGCACGGTGGACCCGCAGCCAGAAGCTCCTGAGTTTACTCCTACTCGGCAGCCTGGATACTGGAAAACATTATTCCTAGATTTCATAGATGTAGCCACTATCAATGCATTCCTCCTGTTCCAAGAGTACCGGAAGCAGAACCCAGACAAGGAGGAGTTCGAGCGATCAGCTGGATACTCCCATTGTGACTTCGGCTCAACCTGTGTTGTCAGCTGGGTAAAATCGAGGAGGGTGATCCTGTGCCTGTGGCACGCCGCAGTGGCCCAGCTCCACAGGCAAAGCCACAGCAACGTCAGCATCTACCTGTGCGATTAGACAAGAGGCATAACTGCCAAGTGTGCTATTACTAGGGATTTCAGTCACGTGACTTTTGGCCCGAAATAGCCTTCATGCAGCTGCATTGATTTGGGGATCTGCGCGTGGCACAATTTTTGCGGAGGCGTTTAACTGTCACTGGATGGTGCGGTGACGCTTGGAGACAAAATCGAACGGGTTAACATGAGAGTAGAGGCGTTGAGCTTTCATTTGGTACCAATCTTGGTGAAATGGCGTAAAAAAGACTGGATTCGTGCCTCTTTCAATGATTTCAAAGTCGATTTTCGATTTGATGCAAGCATTGCACACACTCGCAACATCGACAATCGGATTCTGCACCCTCGATTTAATTTAGATCACTTTCTTGTATCTTACTGACGAGTCGCGGTTGTTCGCGAAATTCAGTAGAACGCCATGGCGTGTGAGGAAGACGAGTCTTGGATCGGCCCTCTGTGCAAAAAGCTGTTGACGCGTAAAAAGTTGCAATGCGCTCCTCCGTCTTGACTCGCCATCAGGGCGGGTACCAGTGGAAAGTCCTGGCCAGCTGACGAACGGCCTCGTCCTTGAACTTCCGTCGTGGACGACAAACACGCAAATAAATTTGCAGTCGCTGATTTTGCTGTTGTCAGCAGTGGATGGCAAGGAAATAGACAAAGTGAACGCGAAAGCAGCTGGGACGAAAGTCAAGCGGGTGAGCGACCGACGGAAGAAGCTGCTGAAGGACAAAGCCGAGGACGCCGTCAGCAAACTGCTTTGTCAGCCATTCGTTCTGCCTGAACTGGATGTCACCCCAGCACATAATGTCGGTACTGAATCGTGTGACATTCAAAAAGAAAATGCCAGTAAAATTGAAAAAATACTGTTGAACGCCTGTCAAAGAAATCATTGATCTGGAAGTAGAATTAGCAAGAGAAAGGGAAGAAAGAGGGAAACTGCAGAAATCTGTTGTGTGTTTCACGGGCCGAACCTGACACATCGGCCTTTAGCATTGACTCTCCTCCTCTCCTCTGGTTGCTTTAAACGGTTTCGGCTTCCACGAGATGTCAATCGGCATGTGGCTCGCCAGCATTGACTCTCTTACCCTGACTCTGGGTCCCTATCACAAGGAAGTGATGTGGCCGTATGGGGCAGTCATGCTATAGTAGTAGTATAGTAGTAGTATGTGTGTGTGTGTGTGTGTGTGTGTGTGTGTGTGTGTGTGTGTGTGTGTGTGTGTGTGTGTGTGTGTGTGTGTGTGTGTCCCATATGGTGCAGTGGTATGTGCAGCGATTTCCAATCGATAGGTTGCGGGTTCAATTCCCGACGATTATGGTCACACACGTCTTTCTTCTCTTTCTCAGACTCTTCCTGACTTTTCTTTCATTCTCCTGGGTGGTTACCAACAGCCAGTGTATGCCGGAGTATGTGGTGTGGTGTGTGTGTAGAAAAAGAAAAAAAGAAAAAAAATGGAAAAAAATGAAAAAATAGGGATTCACTGGCCCGAAAAAGTCACTTCAAACAGCTGTGTGGTGGATACCAGGCTAAAAATAGTGGCGGTCAATTCATCAGCCTTGCAAGCTGTTGAATGGTGTAATCCCAGCACAAGTTGCTATGTCTCAAACATAGCTGTTCGCTATCATCGCTCCCGCGATGGGCATGTCTGAAAGTCTGAAAGTGTGGGTGGGTGTGGGTGTTGGCACACGGACTGGTGGTGGGTGCCCGTGTGTCCGTGCGCGTCCGTGCGCGTGTTCATGGATGAACAGGTCTATATGTATGCTTGAAATGGTGTGTGAGAGTGCTGTTGCTGTTGTTGCTGCTGCTGAGCCTCTGTCTTTCCTTCTGGCATGTGAATATTGCAATGTCGCGTATTAATTATGAGGCCAGCGGCAACCACTTTTGCTGAGCGCGTCACTTGTAGATACATGTATACTATACTTTTACTTCACTCATTGTCCTGTTTCTTGTTCAAACATTAATTGGTACATGTATGCTATGCCATATCAGTATGTACATTTATCCAACAGGTGAATTTTGATACAATGAGCAGCAGTTTCATAGATTCTAAGCCGGTTGCTAAGGTCGTTGCTATGGATGCCATTGTTGTTATTTCTGTTCAGTTTTTAAAAATTCAAAACAAATTCAGTGATTTTATACCGGTGGGCTCCACCAATCATGCTGTCCAAGTTTGGTGCGATTTGGAGCACTTTGGCTGTTGCTAGGGTGTTGCTATGGCCTTTTTGAAACCCGTTTCGTGCCGTGCTTCCTATCCTAATTGTATACTTGCCGATGAAGGGTACCCACCCGTATTCAAATGATCATAATTCTGGTTTCCCTTGGCCGATTTCTCTGATTTTTGGCTGGTTGATAATCACATCCATATCTTTCATTTAAGCCATCACTGCAGTATGCACTGTTGACAACAAAAAAACCGCCTGAAATCCCTACTATTACCAACGCGATGACAAGGAGCAGAAGACAGACGTGCACTGCGATACCTGCACAAACAGACTTGGAAACCCTCTGCCTCTCTGTTTCACAACAAAGAGGAACTGCTTTGGAGAGCATCATGCCGTCCCACAGTAAACTCTAAACCGTTTTGCTATGTGGCAAGTGTACATTCGCACTTTTGCGTATATTTCAATGATCTACTCTGATTTGTATTTTGCTATTGCCAGCTCATGTGTGGGCTTATCAGAAGCGTATGTCCTTGTAGTTTCCAGAAATATATTATATGGTTTACCCATGCTCATCTCCTATAATTTTCAAGTTGTGACTGGTTGTGTGGCTGTCTATACGTTTTATTATGTGACAATTGCGCATTCGCACTTTTCACATATTTCAGTGATCAACCCTGCTTTGTATTTTGCTATGACAAGCTCATGTGTGGGCTTATTTGAAACGTATGTCATTGCAGTTTCCAAAAATATAATGGTTTACCCATACCTATCTCCTATAATTTTCGAGTTTTGACTGGTTGTGTGGGTGCATATTAGTTAAACCGGCAAAGGGTTAATAAAAAAAACTTTAGTTTTGGTACAAACTTCAGTTATTTCGTGCCCCCCCCCCCCCAAGAATATAGCGAAAAGTAAGTTAATTCCAAACGAAACTTTGTACTTATACAGTACCATGAATCCAGTGCATGCTCACTGCATTATTTTTCACTTTCAGATGTAAACTAAAATAAATTGGGTCCCCAATTAATTTGCAAGTACGGAATGGCGGCACCCTAGCATGGCAAGACTAACGACACGTCGACAAGAAGACAATGATAGCCATGCTGCTCTTTACCTCTCTGGAGTCTGAATGTGGTCCAGATCGTCTACATCCAAGATGACTTGACCGTCCAAGACGGTCTGCTGCGAGTTCTTGCGTGCTTCTTCTGCCTTTTCGTTGGAGAGCCTCAGGAAGAAGCGAATGCTTTCCTCCAGTGACCCGCTACTGACTTGTTGGCAGATGAGCTTGTACTGATACAGGCCTTCCTTGGCCAGATGTCCTCGCCGCAATTCCACGCAAAGGGTGATGTACAGCGCCATGATATCGTCGTGTACCTTCTGCCATGTTCGATGCTTCTTGGACTTGATTACATCTGCGAGCGCGTCCAGTGCTGGCTCTTTTTTGCCCACTTCCAAGAACTCTATAAACATTATACAGAACACAGAACACATCATGATGAGCGGCCAGGCAAAAGCATGAAGATGCAACTAAAAGAACTGGGCCAAACCCGCCAACAATTGATTTACCTTTCGCCCGCTTCAGAGCATTTTCTGGCTTCAAGAAGAAAGCCGGCATCTTGCCTCCGGAGATGGGCGCTAACAAACGCTTGCTTTTCCTCCTTCAATCGCTAACTGCAGACGAGCAGCCGTTATCAAACAACTCCCTAGTGGCTATGCGACTTGCAAAAAGCTTCTTTCTCAGAAAGGACAGGTTCTCTCCCAGCGTCCAAGGAAACAAACAGCCGCTACTGGCGCTAGCGTTTCACCGTTTCAATAAAATATTGCCAATGCAAAAGAGAACTGAAGGCTCGTGAAGCGCGTTGGCTATGGTACTCGTTCCCGACGTGATCGATCAGGCTTGTAAAAAAAAATGGCGCAGTGCCGCCAGTACGTAGGTGGCAGCGCATTGAGTCGACTCCCTGGTTGGTGGACGTACATATGACATGTACATAATGTACGTGGGCATCGTGCGCCAGCCGCCACTAGTGCACTGGCCTCCTACTCGTACTTGTAGGCACTTCAGTCACGTGACAGGACCTGTCTTATTTGCTGAGCTCATGAGGTGAGCGTGCGTAGATCTACTCATGCCAGTCATTTAGAAAAGCGATCCTGTCAGCTTTTCTATTATTGTGTTCACATGGCAGAAAAAACGACATCGCTATGCTACGTAAGTTTCTACGTAAGGTGCTCGGTATTTCACTTAGGCTACGTAAGTCTCTACGTAAGGTGCTCGGTATTAGATCTACCAGCGGGTGGTAGCCGTGTGCTGTGCACGTGCACGGCAGACATTATTGTGTTCAGTCCGCGGATCCGTGTTCGGATGTGCATGCGCGAGGAATACTTCCTTCTTTGGAACTGCTTCTTGCATGAGCTGTTTCGGATATTTCGTCTCATGGCCTGGCTTATTTCGTTTCGGCGCTGCTGAGACCTCCTTTCGCGGAATATTACTCAATGACAGCCACAGGTGAGTTGACCAGTTGCCTTTGATTCATTTGCTTGTGTTGACTCTTTCATTCAGGAAAAGTGTGTTGATTTTGGGGCGGAATGCAATAAATAATGGAAAAGTTGACAGGATCTCTTTTCTAAATTTTGCTTTTCTGCTGCCGAGCTGCGAGGCCTCCTTTTACGGAATACTCGATGACAGGTGATCTCTAAGTTGACCGGTTTCCTTCGATTCATTTGCTTATGTTCACCTTTCATTTTCGGAAACGTGTGCTGATTTTATTCGGATTTAGATCCATTTTATCTCTTTGCCCTTGTCTACAGTGTGCGAAGAACGCGAGTTCAACTTCTTGACGGTAAGGCTTATGTTAGATGTGTTGTCGAAATACTCATATTCATTGTACATTGGTACGTTACAAGTAAGGCACTGGTCAGTGGCATACTATCGTTGGCAGTTCCCAATCTGGAGGGAAAGGTTCAAGTACCAATTGACCGAGCTTGCAAAATAAATTCGCATATCAGGGGAATCTCTATTGTGGAGAGGTTCAGTAACTTGTTTGTTTCATACGAAACAAGCCAATGGGTGCAGTCGCGTCTCGTGAAAAACTCGTACATGTATGATTGGATTTGTTTACTCAAGTCTGGGCTGTTTGATTTGTGAGTACCGCCGAGATTGCACTGCCTCAAATAAAGTTTCGTGCCGCCAAAGCAAGAATTACGACCTGCAATCTGTTTGTAGTACCTGTAAAAATGTGGAGTACATGTATCGTACTTTCTCTGTTGCTGTTTCAGTTGCCGTCATGTTGCTAAAGAAAGGTACAGTAGAGAGGTTCTGCAAAACGAAAATTCGAACGAAGTTTCGCGACAGTCCTTGCGAAAGTGTGTGCGAATTTTTGCACGAACTTTGCGTTCTGCACATTTTCGTAGTTTGCGCGGGCCAATTGCACTTACGCCATAACCCGATCTCACGAAATTTCCTACGACAGTTCATTTCGCGTTCCCTGCAAGTTTCGCGTCCAAAGGTGCGAAGTTTCGCACTTCATGATGTAGAACGAAAGTTTGTACGCATTTTCGTTTTGCAGAATCTCTCTTGTGACTCAATTGTTTCATACGAGACGAGTCAATGAGTCGGTGTGGCTTAGAATCTTTCGCTGTAGAAGAAATCTATTCGTATGTCTATTGGAGATATAATTGTATTCTCTGGTTATAAAATAGGTTAAGCTCACAGAATAAATACCATCGGTCCCTTGGTGTTCGTCCTAAAGAGGTTCGACTGGATATCATTCATACTCACCAAAAGATGTGTAAGATTTTATTATTGCGGAGTGCCTTGTTTATCTCTCAGTACCTCCAACCATAGCCTTGCCCCTTTTCTCCTCAGGATCAGTGTAGTTGTTGAAACGAGGTTTTGGACTCGGCAATGTATTCGTTTACATTTTAATACATGTTTATTGTTCCTGCTGTGTTGTTTTAGACAATCGTGGACTAACAGTTTGAAGTCATTGAACTACTTCCAAAAGTTGTTTCGACATCAACAGGATTACGATTTCAGTTTCAATATGATGCTGGATGACCTTATCACGATAACCCATGACTATAAACCATTATAAACACAGAATCAACAAAAACATCTGCGACACGCACCTGCCGCATGGCTACATTTCTCAAATAAATCTGATTGAGGGTGGAGTAATCTGAAATATCTGAAAGGCAAGACAATTTTATTACAGAGTCATGAAATTCTGCAACAGCAACATGCACAGAATGACCTCCGTATAAAAAAGTATCACCACCACTGCTCACATGTTTCCCCGCAGAAGAACATGCATTATGCTAGTGCCATTTTCTGCAAGAAAAGGCTTGCACATCAATGCGTATAATATGGTATTGATATGATGTGAAGGCCATCATTTACATATTGATATAGGGCATTCCATTGATTGGTGACAGAAAAAACAAAAGAAATTATAGCAATAAAAACTGCTTAATGGCAGTTTTCTAAAAAAAGTTATTGTGTTCTAGTCCATGGACCCCGTCTAAAAAGTAAGAAATTAACGAAATGTGATAGCTGAAAATTAAAATTTCACACAAAACCTCACAATAATCACACACAGAATGAAAAGCTACATGCAGAAGACCTTTTCCCCTCGCGATCCTCTTTCCTATGCATGCATGTTGCCAATTGTTGGTGCAGTACAAGTTTAGTGTTGAAAGCAGGGAGTAGTATTGTACTACTCCCTGGTTGAAAGCAGCATTTCAAGTGTTGTGATTATTGTGAGGTTTTGTGTGAAATTTTAATTTTCAGCTATCACATTTCGTTAATTTCTTACTTTTTAGACGGGGTCCATGGACTAGAACACAATAACTTTTTTTAGAAAACTGCCATTAAGCAGTTTTTATTGCTATAATGGTACTTGCGTGGCACCATGTACCAGTCAAGTGCATGCGAACAACTTTTTTTTTTTTTTTTTTTTTTTTTGCATGATCTGAAATGTAGTCTTTGGCACCTATGATCAGGGGATGGCCCACGCCTGGTAAAAAAACAAAAAAACAAAAAAAAAACAATGAGAAGTTGCGTACAAATCGTGTACAGACTAAACAGACTTTGGATTCGAACATAACAGAGTGGAAAACCGGAATCCGAGAAAACGATAACATGCAAAATCATGAAAAAGTGGGGGGGGGGGGTACTGAAGCAGAACAGTAGCCAAACACACCACGGATAGTTACCGAAAGCACTCTGCAGCAGCAAGGACCACAGAAGCATCAGAGTCAATGACTCTCTGGCGGGCATCTTGAGACCGTGGCCTGCGGTGACCACGGAGGCTGGCATTGGAGGCACGAACAAGAGAAAAGGAAACCCTTGACCTAATAAAGGCAAGAAGTGAGGAGAAGGGCTCCTTTCTCTTGTCGGCGAGCATAGAGGCGACACGCTTGAAAAAAGCGGAGGCGGACTTGCCGTAGCCGCCGGAAGCGCTGAACACAATGGGAGAAAAAGACGCGTGTTCAACTTCCCGGACGCATGCGAAAAACTGCACAGGTACATGTACTACATGTATACAGTACAGACAGTCCAGCTCAATGAAATCCAGCCACGTCACCATGGTCACTCAGGTTTGCACCTTGCACCATTTCGCAGCACAGAGTCAGTGTTCGCAGGTCTAGGGCTGCGCAACGCCCGGCGTGTACTTGAGTGACGTGACTGGATTTCATTGAGCAGTACTCATGGTACTAGTACTTAGTAGTACTACTACAAGTACAACTATTATCAAGAGTACTCTTGCATTGCGATCTTGATAGTATAGGTACGCGCTATGCTTCGTTGTACGGGCTGATACTGATACTTGGGCGCATCGTGTTGCTACCCTTAGCAAAAAACGTTATGTTGTAACGGTATTATCGTAAGGGGGAAAATACCGTGATTTGGGTTCGACCTTTAGCAAGATGCACGCTATTTTTAGTACGCTGTTGCCACGAGAGTAGCTTTGATTTCGCGCGGTACAACCATTTTTGTCACCATATACGCGATACAAGGTGAATTGCGTACGGACTATGCAATAGACATCCTTAGCAAAAGTACGATAACGCTAACCTTTACGGTACTCACTCCCAGCCGTGACAAAAGACGTTATCGGATAACGGAAAAACGTTACAGAGCTCAAAATAACGGGCCGACGTTCGTTATGGAAATTCTGCAAAAAATGCAAAAACTCGCATTGTTTTGTAACTGGCGGGAGATAAAAAGCACGTCGTGCAGATCGAGATGAGATCGAGAGTCGAGATTGCTTCCTCTTGTGACATTTAGCTTTTTTGGCGAGTTTTGCCTTTCAGTTGACAATTTCTGCGTCCTCTGCTTCGTGCCTTTCCCCTCTATCCCATCTGGGAAACAAAGGACCAGTTCCACGGCACTCCTGAGGAAGAAATTCATCGGCCTCTCCCAGACGTGCTGGAGCTGGAGAACCCTTACAGTCTTCGGTGCTGCGTTTAGGAAAGGTTTTCCAAGGACCTGGGAACAGCGAAAACTCATTTTCGCCGTGCTTTTGCTATTCCAGAGTAAAAGACCTCGCCAAGGTATTCTTTCGGAACGACAGCAAACTAATCCCTGGTTCAAAATTTTGAATTTTCCGCATCTGTTTCCACGAAAATTCATATCGCCATGGTTGTCACGACTACTTCGTCTCAACTATAACGTACTTTGTGCTAAGGGAAAAGTCAGCTTGAACGATCCGAAGTACGGAAAAGGTTTGCGTTTACGTTAGCGTTTTTTTAGCTAAGGATATCTAATATTTTGGCCAAAACACGTACCGTTGGTCAAAACGATAAATCAGCCCCCATAACGTTTATACGCTGCAGC